AGTTACTGAACTTTATGACGAATGCGTCCATAGTATTTTGAGCCGTCGATCTTCATTTTGTGTCCCCGAGATCCACCTGTATAGATGCTGATCCAACGGTCATGTATCATTCGCTTCGACCTTAGGTTACCATCTTCAGTTTTCAAATTTCCTATATCTTTTGAGATATCAAATGTTTCTTTTGCACGTTACAAACAAAAAAAAAAGCAAAGAAACCAACGATTGGGGCGATAAAATCAAAGTAAAAGGTAACGCATGAACATTGTCATCTTGTAGACTTGTTGGATTGTAGTAATGCATTGGAGTCTATAACGTACATAATTGTGTTATTACATTAGGAACACGAGTCACGAGACCCGGCATTAGTCATTGACTTATTGTTTGTAGTTTCTACTTTTTGTTTGCTCTTAAATGTACAATTTTAGCTTACAATAATTCCGCTTTTGATTTCACTTGTACTCTATACAGCTTGAATTAAGCATCTCAATTTACATCAACACACTGCCCACGTGTGGTTTCCACATTTAAATGATTGCAAATTTGCAACTATATTGTATTAATTAAGAAAAAACTATATTTTATTAGTTTGACTCTCGTAGTTGTCAATATGTTATAAAAAACATAGTTTTTGAAACTGTCCCAATATATCATCAAGAATAGTTAACAAATGTGAATACCATCATACTAATCAGTTTATCAAAAAAATCAGTACGTTAGCAAAACTTGAAAACATTGTTACCATTACTACCACAATTTTTTATTTTTACATTATTAGACAACACTCAATAAGGGAAAAAAGAAAAGAAAAAACACTCAAAGAAAAGATGAATTAAGAAACTAGAAAAACGCGTATTCCAGCTTATTATATTCAATTTCGGTATTATTTTTCTTTGAAAGTAATTAACCAAATCTGACAAAATAATTAAGTCAGCAAATACCTCATATGTTAAATAGTAAAATATCCAGGCTAACCAAAAAAAGGAGTAAAGTAATAAAACGGGCAAAAAGCAAAGCCGTTTTTTTCCTCTTTTCTCTATAAAGTCTCGTTCATGCACCAACCAAATATCCTATCTTAGCGACTTCAACAAAAAACTTCAAAATTTTCTCTTCAATATAAGCCTCCGCAAGAAGTTTCTCAGAAACAGTTTTCTCAAGAAAATACTTGAATTTTCCTCAAAAGCCCACTAATTTCTCTGACATACCAAACAAATTAAACCCGTTACATGATTTCTACAAAAACTAAAACTTAAGAGAGAAGAATCAGATCTGAGAAAAAACTACAATGTGTCTGGTGTGTTTATGTGATGAGGAAGAGACAGAGTTAGGGAGACAACAAGCACCTGGATCGTGTCCTTATTGTGGAGGTAAAGTGCAAATGCTTGATGTCGAAAGAAAATGGATGTTCTGTTTCGTTCCTCTTTGTTTCAAGATCAAGAGGAAGTACTTGTGTTCTTCTTGCGATCGTCGTCTCGTTTTGTATCATTAAAATAATAATCTTGTAGTTTTTTTTATTATTAATGTCCTTTCTTAATAATTAAAGTAAATTAATTAGCGTTTTAATCAAGGGAAATAATTTTAGTCGGTGGTCTTTGGTATGGTTAGTATATCTAGTCGTGTAAACCGACACTGATCTTTCAGAAGTGTTATAGAACTCTCTCGATTCAAATTTGATGTACTTTTCCTTTGTCTTCAAGTGGCTTCTTAAGTCGGTCCAAATTAAAATATATTCAATATTATATGTGTAATTGTGTTGTTAATGTAATGATGAATCTCAAGTTTGGTGTAATTTTGGAAATTTCTTTTTCTATATGATCAAATGTTCGAAACTAGATGCTCTCTAGTATCCATGACCTTGCAACTGAATTTGATTATCGGTCGTGTAATTTTGCATGCAAGTACGGGTGTCAATAAGCCTGATCTTCAGTTCGATCGATATATAGGTTTTTTCTGGACCGGTACAGTTGGTTTTTGTCGCGTGGGAAGTAAACATATCAAAATAAGGAGCAATATAGGCTGAATTTGGGGAGTCCAAAATATTAGATTGGACCCAACTTAATGAAATGGTGTTGAATGTGGTGGCTATATTAGTTACGTTAACAACGTTACTATTTCCAAATTTATCGTTCACACATTAAGATGATTAAGGCACATTAATAGCAATATAGCATCAACTTAAAGAAACGTCTCTGACATAATTTAAGCGTTATTTTGAAGTCCTTAATTTAAGAATTAAGATTATGAGCAGTCCAAACATCATTGTGTAGCTTGCATTTATATTGTAGTAGCGTCGCATCACTTAGTATCGGTACGATTACGAATCTGATAATTAGAAAAAAAATTGAGAATAGTTTAAGAAAAGATAGAGATTCAATTGGGATGATATCATGATAATGTAATATTCGCTCGTGACTTATTTATGAGACGCAGAGAGGAAAAAGATCACAACTGATTCGGTCACATGCAAATGCAAATAATGACATCAGTGGTCAGTGGTTTATGTTGTTTTTTAGTCAGAACCGAAACTGTATTTTCTGAACATTTCAAAAGCAAATAAATACAGGGAAATGTGCAAATGTGCGAGAAATCGCTTTACTAAGTTTTCTACAGAATTGAAAGACTTTACATATTACAGGGATCGTTTTACTAATTTCAGTCTTAAGCATATCCCTCGTAGTGGTAATACCTCCGCCGATTATCTTGCGAAATGTGCGAGAAATCGCGGGTTCTGTTTTTCCCATGTAAGTTCGACGGTACCTGATTGGCTCTCTCTAGAAGAGAGTCTTATTCCGTGAATTAATATATGGTGTTTGATTGGCAAAAAAAAAAAATAAATACAGGGAAAAGGAAAGAACAGCTCTTACTTTTGGGGGTTATAAACAGCTCTTACTTTTGGGGGTTATAAACAGCTCTTATCTATTGAGCAGAATAATAAAAACAGCTCTTATCTATAATATATTATAGCTTATATCAATTCTTTTTTGATAAAATTTTTGTTTTTTTCATCATTGAGGAAACAAGAAAATGAGATAACTTATATCAATTCTTCTATTTCTTTTAATATGTAAGGGGATTTCGAACCAAAACGACACTTCTATATATCATTCTGTTGTTGCTAAACTTGTACTATTTAAGTAGTTACTACTATATGTTCTGGTTATATTTGATAGGAATCTTGTAAATAGTTTCAGTAAGTTGTTATTCTATTAATACTGTTAAGTATTTTGGATTGAAACATGTAAAAATCTGAAAACAAAAGCCTCACTGCCTTAGCCGTATTTGTGAAATGGTTTGCTCTTTGTAGCAACACAGTTACATAATTCCTCGAAAAGCTGGTTTAAGGTTTTAATTGTTTTAACGATCTATGTTATTCCTTATCAGTTATCACTTTATCTAATGTTATAGTACATTGATGAAGATATTATTTTTATGATAAATGTCCTAACGAATTACATTTTTGTAAAGTAAAGCGTATTGATAAAATTAGGTAGAAGAAGTTATATACATACGTGAGGGTGGGCCAAAGTCGTATTTATTTCGGAAGCGTGTACTATAACATTAGATAACTCGTAGCTGCAACAAGAAAGTTTAATATAACTTTCCAAAATCAAGTGGCAAGGAGAGAAAACAAAACTTGTTTCAACAAAGTGTTTGTCATGCCCAAGCCTATGTGGTCTAGTGGCAGAGGAAGCTTTGGTGAAGGGTGAAACTCCCAGACCCGAGTTCGATTCTCCCTGGAAACAAAAACACATTTGTTTGGGAAGTCTGTCAGTTGGGCCTTGGCCCAATTGGTTTACCTGGTAGTCAGAAATGCAGGCGGCCTGACTACCCCCTGGCATTAGTCGGAAGGCATTCCAAACTCGGATCAGGCAGTGTGGTGGCCCAATTCTACCTGGATCGGGAGAAGTCCACTCTGTAGCACCTCGGTGCGTTCCTACCGAGGCCGACCGGATCAGCCGATAGGGTTTATCAAAAAAAAAAAAAAAAAAAAAAAAAAAAAAAAAAGTGTTTGTCACCGGTTTCACATTATTGTAACCATCACCGTAACGTCGCTAATACCATGTCTCCGGCTAAGAACATCGACAGGAGCACCAACTCTTAGTAATACACATTTCATATGTAATATCTAAAGTGTTTAATATCTTAAGAGTAAACTAATGTAGTAATTAAGATTTACCCCAAAAAAGAAGTAACAAAAGTAAAGCTCACAAGTCTCAACAGCATTAAAGAAAAAAATTGATTGTTTGCGATATTTTTCTGTATTTCATTACTTAATAGTTAATACTATTTATTTTCCAAGAAAAATAATCATTTTTTTTTTTTATCATTTGTATCTATGGTATTGAAAAGATAGAAAATGATCTAAAAGTCTATTGATACATGTATTTTTTGCAAACACAGTTTCAGATTTTCAAATTCTATTAAAGTATGCGTCTAGAAAATATATATGTATACGAAATGTATAGATATTTCCATATATAGTGTTTGAGAAATTTGTGAAGAATCTCCGAGAAAAAGGTGTTCAGATACTTGTCTATTGTTAGAGTTATATACATACTTAAAAATCACCTGCAGAAAAAAAGAAACAAACAGTATATATAACCCAAAGCATCTTAGATAAATTGGTCCTCCCTGACTAATTTTGGTTGCTAAGAAAAAAAAACATAGCTGTTAGAGACAAATTATAATGTTAATCTCCGAAGATTTTGTATCATGTTATTATTACCCATTGGGCTCTTACCTTTTTTAATGACCCATTGGGCTCTTCCCTTTTTAAATAACCCATTGGGCCTCAAATGATGATTAAGTTCAAGAAGCCGAAACTCACAAACCAGGTACATAATCCGGGTCGGGTTTAATTTGCACGCACCCGGAAAGAAACCCTAATTTTCCTCTAAATCCTTGTCTTGGTTCCAAGCAAGTTTTGTCTTGAGCTCAAAATTGAACCCTAGCAGCAGAGCCTCCCTTAAACCCAGCTCTCTTAGCTCTCAAGGCTCGTCAATTGTTGATCTCTAGACCAGATATGGGCAACGAGAGCAAAACCTCGACTTTGGAATCGGAGCAGAAGGCTCTTCTTCTCCGTTCGATTGCTCAATACTTGGGGCGATGTGGGTTTTCCAAATGCTTCAAGAAACTTCTCTCCGAAGCTGAAATCGAGGTTTGTACATTAAACTTTCGAACTTTAAGTGACTTAGCTTTTGCTCTTTGGAGAAAAGACCAAAACTTTGTCCTTAATTGCTATGTAAGTTATGCTTTGGTGATATAGCTTAGGATTCTTACAATGAGTCTGCTCTTTTGTTATTGTTTCAGAAGAAGGAATTGAACACAAGTTTACCTGATTTAGAGGATATTTTCAGCGAGTTTTTGAAGAAGAGGTAAGCTTGTTTAGCTTATTTTATATGTAACAAGATGTTCTTTATTTGAATGTAGTTGCATTGCATCATTTAGTTGTGTTCTGTGTCTTGCAGAGATCATGAAGCTGCAGCTAATGGAAATACCGAGGCGAATGTAGTGGAAGGTGTAGAGAATGTGAAGAAGGAGAAGAAGAAGAAGAAGAAGAAGGAAACAAAGGTGGAGGTAACTGAGGAGGAGAACGTTAAAGAGACTGATGTTGAGATCGAAGATGGAGTTACGGAGAAAAAGAAGAAGGAAACAAAGGTGGAGGTAACCGAGGAGGAGAAGGTCAAAGAGACTGATGCTGAGATCGAAGATGGAGTTAAGGAGAAAAAGAAGAAGAAAAACAAGTCGAAGTCTGATGATGATAAGGAGAAAGTATCCAAGAAAAGGAAAAGATCAGAGCCTGAAGAGACTAAAGAAGAGACTGAGGATGATGATGAAGAATCAAAACGTAGGAAGAAGGAAGAGAATGTAGTTCAAGAAACACCTGTTAAGGAGACTGAAACTAAGGATAACGGAAATGTTGAGAAAAGCGAAACGAAATCAACAAATCAGAAGTCAGGAAAAGGGCTTTCTAACTCAAAAGAGGTATTTGCGTTTGCATCAGTTGACTCTTTTTTTGGGGGATCGAGGATTGTGTACTGATGTGTTTTTTTTCACTTATTTACAGCCGAAGAAACCGTTTCAGAGGGTGAACGTTGACGAAATTGTGTTCACTGAACACAGCAACTCGTACAATTCAAAGGTTCGATATAATCTTCATTGCTACTCCTTGTATAACAATCTTTGTTTTATCAATGCCTTTATTGAAGTTTGCTTCTCGTTGTCTTATAGTCTGGTGCTGCATATGGCTATGGTCTTAAAGCTCAAGAGGTTCTCGGGCAAGTGAAAGGAAGGTAATGCTCCTCACCCTATAGACTTATTGTATATCTAGAGTTATGCCTAGACAACAAGGCTCTAGGGTTGTTGACTCACTTTGGTTATTTCGAGTTTGAAAAATCATAACCAAAGTAAAACCTAGTATATTCCTCAGCCTTTGGACTCTGATTTAGGCTCATATCTTGATTTCTTATATTTCATCTTCTTTTGGTTTAGGGATTTCCGACATGAGAAGACGAAGAAGAAACGAGGAAGCTACAGAGGAGGATCGATCGATCTTGAGTCACATTCGACTAAGTTTCTTAACTCAGACTCGGAATAAGAATGATTGATAAGCAAACAACACTGCCTTTTTCACATTGCCTCTTTTTGATTTATCTTTTTTTTTTCTTTTGCTTTGATCATTTCAATACCCTAAAAGGGCTCAAGTTTTGTGTCCACTAATCTTATAAGAACATGATTCAGTTTCAGTTTCTTCTTCACTAAATTGACTTCAAAGGTTCTTGTTTTAATTACTCAAAGAGCTGGACTGGATCCTGGAAAATAGGGTTGATTAAATACTTTCAGAACCAAACCGGACCGGTATGTCGAACAAGGAATTGTCCTTCTTGTTGAGTAATAACTACACCATGATTACTTTCTAAACCGTTAAAAATTAATCAATATCCGGTCCAGTTTTCAAAATATTGGTTTGGTTTAACTCGACTCAGGTTTCTGAACCGTATTTGGTGAGTTTCTGACCGGTCCTCATCAATTGACTTTGTTTTGTGCATAGAATTTGAGCCGACATAGAGGTATACAGATATTTGTTGTACTTTGCAGAAATAGGATAATCTTGGCCGACATATACATTTTGAAGTTTATGTCTATTTGCTTTCTAACCAATTATTCAATTATTTTATTCAAATCGTCTCCTCCTATTTTATGCACATGTTATTGCTAATGACTTGATTAGTGAGTTGTGCTTTATTCTATACTTTCTGATCAATTTTAGTTGAGAGTATTGTGATAAGAAGTAACGAGGCATATCTTTGTTATATTGGTCTCTTGCGTTTTCATTAGGCAAAGTGTTGTTTTTTTTTGCCTTTACATATATGATATATCAATCTTGTCAATAAATTAGTGAAAGTTGATATTCGTTTCGTTTTTAAGTAATAACAAATATCGTTATAGAAAATATTATTTTGTGTCGGTCGGTTCTTTATGTTAACTTAATGCTTGTAAACTTTGGGTTGATGTTGTGAAAAAGCATCCAATGCTTGAAGTTGTGTTTTTTTTTTTTGTTGACAAAATTTAGTTGTTGGAGTTAGTTGATGATAGGTATTTTCCTCAGACTTCTGTTATTCTTAAATTTTATATTCTCTTTCACTATTCATTAAATATCTCATTAGTGGAGAATTGGAGATCTAATCTAGTTTGGTATTATGTAACTTATGTTTACATCTAAATTATATATTGACCTTGGCCACTATCCAATTAGCTTCTCGGACAAATCATTACATTCTCAGAATTATACCGTATGGTTCAAAGTAAAAGGAATCTAATGGTATAGTGGTAACTCGTTTTTTGGTTCTATCCTCATCCGATTTTTTTTTTCAAAATTATACTATGTTCGACGACTACATTCATCCAAAATTAACTAAATTTCCCTTCATATAACCTTTTGTTTGGAAAAAACTATATTTGATAAACGATTGAATTACTGATTATTGTTTTAGTCGAACTGTATGGTATTAGATCAAGGCATTTAAATTTATATTCTACACGAATTATAAATTAAAATAATCAATTTTTGTTGAATTTAGTTATGCTGATTCCTATTAAAACGGACCTACCTGTTTCTTTTCATGATCACGATTAAAAAAAAAAGTAGGTAAGAAATCAGATATTTGCTAAAACACAGATTAAAAATGTCTAAAAAAATATTGTTGACAAGAAAAATGTTGAAAAGCATGTTTGGGTGTGAATATATGGTCCCAAAAATTCATAATTTCGGGTTGATATTTTTTGTTATATCACATCCTACCAATAATTTCTTCTAGACTACGAAATTAACCCCTGCTTTTTATTTCTTTCTACCAAAGTAGTATGAAATGACAACATGTGATTAAGATTAGCCAATAGCCCCACGATGAAAAAATGGCGGAAAATATAAAAAGTTATCAGAAATAGAGAAACGAATGTTTTAAAACAAAAACTAAAGGAACTATCCTGAATACAGATGAATATATATCAAATTAACTACTAATAAACATGACATTTGAGTTTCGACTAGTTAATTCTCTGATTTGAACAAATCACGCGAATATATCTTATACTAATAACTAATTCGCTCTGGAAAAAACTAATTAAAGTCTGTCCATAAGAGATATTCTTATAGTCAATATAGTGGTTCTTTAAAGTTTACTATATACATAAAATTAATATATCAATTGCTTCGTATAAGAACGAATATTGATTCTCCTATTGGCCGACGTGAAATAAACCTTTAGTTACTATGTTTTTTTTCTGCTTCTTTAATGGACCAATAAGAAAAGAACATTGTCGTTGACAAGAAGAAAGACGCAAAGGAAGAAGTAAAAACAAAATTCTTGACATAATAAAGACATTTTTAACTTAACTCTTTCTTGATTATTCCTCCTCTTGTGAACATTAGTTTAGATAGAAGTAAACAAAATTCATGACATAATAAGACATTTTAGCTTAATTCTCTCTTGACTTTTCCTTAGCATTCTCCTCTCGTGAACATTATTTTAGATAGAAGTAACAAAATCCATGACATAATAAGACATTTTAGCTTAACTCTCTCTTGACTTTTCCTTAGCATGCATTCTCCTCTCTCGTGAACATTCTTAATTTTAAAGTATAAATATCCTTTCTGTTTCCTTCATTTTCATTAACGGGATCAACGTAACAGGTTACAAAGTCATGGTTATACATTAATGAAAGTAGTATAAAAAAATCTAGGCAACGTATATATAAAGAAATATAACCAATCTCTTAACAGGTGTTAAAAAAAAAAAAACCAATCTCTTAATTATTCTCTTTTGTTCGTAGACTATCTTTCGCCAAGGGAGCATAACAAGTATTTCGATCCCGTTTGCTAAACGCAAATTGCACCGTGCGTGCGTGTGTGAAATACATTTTTCCAGTAGTCGAATTTTCAGATGGGTTTCTTGATGATTTGATTCAACGAGAAGCAATAACCTAATATATGTTACTTTATGTCAGTTACACATGTACGAATAGATGTATAATGATTAATGACTAAACTGATTTAAGTGAAGAATTATCTGTTTATTGTACTTAGAGGTGTCAAAATGGTTTAAAATTGATGGATCAATCCAAACCAATCCAACTCATGGATCTAATGAGTTGAAAATTTGGATATTAATGGATTAATGGATTAAATGGTTTAATGAGTTTAATGAGTTGGATTGAAATGGTTTGGTTTAGATTGGATTATTGGGTTATCCATAACCAAACCAATAAAAATTATATAATTGAAATCAAATATGTAAACCAAATATAACCGAATTGAATCACTAAACCGATTTTAGTAAACCGAAATAAACATAATTTTCTTAAATCGCTTAACCATCGATCTTTCTCGGCGTCAAATCTCTCACTGTCGATCCCTCTCAATTTTATGGTTTCACCGGCAAATCCATCGACAACGTTAAACGACGAAGCCAACAACGCCGTTCACCGGCAAAGCCAACAACGCCGTTCACCGGCAAAGCCACTGACACTCGAATCCCTCATCGTCACTCATGGAGTCCTTGGTCGTCGTTTTGTGATCAATTTATGAACCAATATCATATTTACAAGTATTTCGACGACGACGGCGACGACGGCGACGGCGACGGCGACGGCGACGACGACGACGACGACGGCGATGAGGACGACGGCGACGACGACGACGATGACGACGGCGGCGGCGACGACGACGATGGCGGCGACGACGACGACGATGACGGCGACGACGACGACGATGGCGGTGATGGTGATGATGATGGTGGTGGTGAATTGATGACGATGGAGTGATGAAGATGATGATGGAATGATGATGATGATGGTGGTGGTAACATGATAGTTACTAATTATCAATTAATTAGGATTTAAATTATAAGAAAACTATGTTATGGATCAACTCATTAAATCCATTAATCCACTCATTTAAATGAGTTATGGGTTAATCCAAACCATTTGCTAAATGAATTGGATTGATTCATTAACCATTAAACACTAAATCAATATGGATATGGGTTGGTTTGGTTTGGTTTAACCAACTTGACACCCCTAATTGTACTTGAATAAAGAAGTGGTTGTTCGATGATCATATTAAATATTATTACGATCTTACCTTTGTATGCTTGTTTCTACTGCATGGTACGTAATGGACTAGTAATGTTATTTTCAGTAAATTATTTTCATTTATGCATATGTCCCATTGATGATTTTGAATAGTTTCGGAAACTAAGAAACCGTCTAAAAGTAGAATGATTTTTTTTTCCACAATCATAAAATAAATGAATACTATAAGAAACTGATATTGAGCTAAAAATTTGCTCTACCGAAGAGATTAAACATTCGTTTTTCTAGTCAGTTCATAAAAATTCAGTCGGTTTGCAATGCCACGTAAAGAATCATAATTCTAGTAAATCGACACGTCATCAATAAGACCAAAAGAGCTTCACACGTCAGAAAGTATTAAATACCAAAATTGACGTTAAATATTACTAAAAAGAAACCTAGCTGTCTGTACACGTGGCAGCATTATAATCCCCTACCTTTGTTTAATTTTCTTTTATTTTTCAAAGGTTTTCTCGCCTGTCTAATCCACTTTTTTTATTCGACATAAAATCTATTATTGTTTGTTAATTTAATAATGATATCTGACTATTATTTATTCTAATAATTGAGATATTCCGTCACAAATCTTAATATATTGTTACACTTTACAGGTGCTCGTACTTAGTGGTGTCGAAAGCTTTACAGGGAGACCCATTATCTAATATCAAAGTAAATTTTATCTTTTGTAAATATATTCTTGGTGAATCGTTTATTCATTTCGCAGACGTGGAAATGAACATGAGATTGAGTAGAAATCGCTTCTTATTAACGTCTCCGAAATACAAACATTTATTCATCGTTCACACGACGTTTCGTTTCACTTTCTAGTGTTTCCGCGTTTTTTGAAACGCAATTTACCTTTTATCGATTCGGTGATTTTTAGTGCCAGTGGATAGACTGATAAAACAATTAATTAGAATGGTGACTAATAAACGAATTATTCGTAATGTTTGTTTTATATTGAAGCAGTCGGTGCATAAAGACGAAAAATGTGTTGATGTTTGTTAATTGTTTACTTATACCAAGGCTCTGTAAATAGAAAGCGATAACGAAAACATACTAACTAAAATGTATTCACAAGTAAACAATGCCAAAGTTTAGTATAGTCCAAAGTTCAAATACTCTTTTTTTTTTTTTTTTTTTTTTCCGTTTTCGTCAACAAGTTCAAATACTCTCTATATTATAAAAATTTAATTTATGGGTTCGAACTCGGAAATACAGTGAGGGGGTTAAGCACCAGAGTATTCAAATATTTTTTTTCTTTTCTTTTTCTATTGTTAGTAAATGCAAATTTCCAAAATAATTATACAAGAAGAGACCATACAAGGTAATCTGAGAAATAACGTAATACATTAACACTATTGTGACTCTACGGTGCACGTAGTCAAACTTTTATTTAATTTTATTAATATAGTCTTAATTTCCAAAATTATTTGTTTGATTTTTACTTAATATGATATGACACATAGTATTTGCAAAATTTCAGCTATTTAAATGTTACTTCTAAATAATCTAAAAAAAATTGGTAAAAATTATGAAGGAAAGTTTTTGTTAACCTTATCTATTTCTTTACTTCTTTTTTTTTTCTTTTTTCTTTTTCTTTTCATTAGATAGATTCTTTTATAATTAAAGTAACAAACTAATAATCCAAAGATTTATTTAATCAAAAAAATAAAAAGGAAATTGATGCCAATAGCATTTAATTAGCGCGTGCCACGTAGCTTAGTTTCCAAGAAAATGGAAATTACCCATAACCGGCCCAAGAACTCGAATTTAGTTACCCATTAACCCTAGATCTATATATTTGTTCACTACTGTTTCATCCCAAACTTTAGAGAGAGAGAGCATTCTAAAAGTTTTCCAGCGAGAAGTAGTCACATTCTCCGGCGAACTAACCGGAATTTTCTCTCCAGGTAAAAATCGAGTTGTTTCTCGTCTCGATTTTTGCTTCAACCGACTAAGAAACGAGTTCCGGATTTCGAGAATATAGATTAATTTAAACGACTAATAAAAAATTTAATTGTTTTTTTTTTGGGTTTAAATTAAAAATTTGCAGTGTTGGTCGCTTTGTCTCCTTTTTGTTCTTCTTCTTCGTCTTCTCTAGTCTTACTTGTTTTGAATTTTTGTTGACTACTTCTGGACTAACCGTTCCAGAGCGTTTTTCTCGTGGTGGTAGTGACTTCGTCTTCATCGTTTGTTTTTTTTTTTCGATTTTACATGATTTTGTTGTGATTCAAGGCTAATGTCATGGATTTTTGAAGAAATCTGAGAAAATTTCTGTGGTTTTTTGTCGTCTCTCATAGTTGGTTTTGACGCACTTGTTTATTTTCTCTGGATTTTTCCCAGAGAGAAGATACTTTGTTTCGAAGAGATATTTATCTTTTTCTTTCTTTTTTTATTTTCCCTGAGAAATTGCTTTTTTCCTGCTTGATATTTCACGTGGTTGTCGAAAGCAGAAGCAACCTTTAAACAGAAAACTTACTTATCTTATAATTTTTTGTTTTCTTTGTTTTTTTTTCGCAGTGGTTTTGAGATTTAGGGATTGAGAGTGGTTCTTCTCTCTTGCGACTGCAACGATGACGAGTCTTTTGAAGCCATCGCCGGGACGACGACGGGGAAGCGATTTGGAGTCTGGTAAGACTGATAACGCTGACTCCGATAGCGATACTTTCTACATCCCTTCGAAAAATGCTTCAATTGAGCGGCTTCAACAGTGGAGAGTAAGACCTAGTTTGTTTGCTTTTTATGAACAATTGTTTTTTGGCTTTTCGATATGAATGCTTGTTTATATGTTAATCAGTGTTTTCGTTGTTGTTGTTGTTTGTTGTTTCGGTATTGGTTTGTTCTATATGTTCGAGCTAACAATGAATGGTGTTATTAACAGAAAGCTGCTTTGGTTCTCAATGCCTCCCGGAGATTCCGTTACACCTTGGACTTGAAGAAGGAGCAAGAAACGAGGGAAATGCGACAGAAGATCAGAAGTCATGCTCATGCTCTTTTGGTAAATTTGTCTGGCAGCTAGTTAATCATATGTCTCTCTATCATGAGATTCTGCATTTTAGTGATGAGCCTCTTCTATTTCTTTGTTAGGCTGCGAATCGTTTTATGGATATGGGACGTGAGCAAGGTAATTTTGGCTAACTGTGTACTTTGGTGTTGTGCATAATCTGGTTCTAAATGTGTGAGAAGAAAGTCTTTATGTATGAACTTGTTGATGTGTTCTTTTTTTCTCTTCAGGAGGGGAAAAAACAACAGCGCCTGCAACTCCGGCTGGTGATTTTGGAATTACACCTGAACAGCTTGTGATAATGTCAAAGGATCACAACACTGGTTCCCTGGAGCAATATGGAGGGGTATGTTTTCTGTCATGAAACGTGCTTATGTCTGGTTTTTGTTATAGCTTGTCTCTAATTAACTTATTGGTATGCATGTATTTGTTGCATCAGGCTCAAGGATTGTCAAATTTGCTCAAGACAAATCCAGAGAAAGGTATCAGTGGAGATGATGATGACTTGCTAAAGCGCAAGACCGTTTATGGATCAAACACCTATCCTCGCAAGAAAGGCAAAGGGTTTCTGGTATGAAGATGCATATTTATTATTAGCTCTATGCTACAAGTTAGGTTTTCTCTGCTCACTTTCTTATAAAGCGTGTTGGTTTTTTGTTAATCATTACAGAGGTTTCTTTGGGATGCTTGCCATGATCTCACCTTGATCATTTTAATGGTTGCTGCAGTAGCGTCTTTAGCACTTGGGATAAAAACAGAGGTTTGTGATGAAATTAATCAACTAAATTTGGATCCTCCCTCTTTCCCCAGTGTAATGTCACCTCCAAATTAACCTTGGTCTTACATATCTTAGCTAATTTGGATAACAATCATTGACAGGGTATCAAAGAAGGATGGTATGATGGAGGAAGCATTGCATTTGCTGTGATTCTTGTGGTTGTTGTGACAGGTAATTTTAACTTGTTTCACTTTTTTTTTTTTTTTTTGTGTCAACAAACTTGTTTAATATAATAATTTTGATAATGACTACTGTTATTTTGATGCTTTCTTCTCCTTTGCAGGTGTCAGTGACTACAAACAGTCGCTCCAGTTTCAAAACTTGAATGATGAAAAGAGAAACATACATCTGGAGGTATAAATTTGCCCCACTGATACTTCTCCTCATACACTCTTTTTCTTGTTTCCTTCTTAGTTACACTACACTCTCTGTTGATTGCTGCACAGGTGGTAAGAGGTGGAAGACGAGTGGAAATTTCGATCTATGACATAGTGGTGGGTGATGTCATACCCCTCAACATTGGCGATCAGGTAAGTGATTTATTCTTCTCCTGTTAATTTTGTTTTTGTCCATATTCCCGTGTCTAATCGAAAATGAAAATTATCTTTAGGTTCCTGCGGATGGAATCCTGATAGCTGGCCACTCTCTTGCCCTTGATGAGTCTAGCATGACTGGAGAGAGCAAAATAGTGTGTTTTTGTTTCTTGTCATAGTGAATTTGTTGATTTTCTTGTCTCTTCTTGGTATAACTCTTTAAGTGTCGATTTCCCTGTCATTGCCAGGTTAACAAAGACGCCAACAAGGACCCATTCTTAATGTCTGGCTGTAAAGTGGCAGATGGAAATGGTTCTATGCTGGTAGGATTACGGCCTAGTTTTTCTTGTTCCATAGCAGAATTGATCTCTCAGGAGATAGTTGTAATTCTCTTCCATTTGTGTGATATGTGTGTTATTTTTCTTTCTGCAAGGTTACTAGTGTTGGAGTCAACACTGAATGGGGATTGCTGATGGCCAGTATTTCTGAAGACAATGGTGAAGAAACTCCATTGCAGGTTGGTATCTTAAACCATTGTTAATGTAAGCTTTAAATTTTTACAAATCGAGCTAATCTTTGACTTGCTTGAACCAGGTGCGCTTAAATGGGGTAGCTACTTTTATTGGTTCAATTGGATTAGCGGTTGCTGCTGCTGTACTAGTGATTCTTCTGACTCGGTATGAATGCTATCTTTGCTGCTTATTATTTTGGAACTCGGCCATATCATGTTCACTGCAAGAGAACGATTCTAGTTGACATTATGCGAATTGTGTATGTTGTCCTCTTTATTTTTCAGATATTTCACCGGTCACACTAAAGCCGCTAATGGAGGTCCTCAATTTGTTAAAGGCAAGACAAAAATCGGTCATGTAGTTGATGATGTGATCAAAGTCCTTACCGTAGCGGTATGTTTCCTAGTTAACCATCTTAGTATAATAGGGATTCGGGATCCAGCAGTAAATATCTGTAATTTTCTTTAGTAATGCTAATACTCGGCTATTGCTGCAGGTTACAATTGTCGTAGTGGCAGTGCCTGAGGGTCTTCCATTGGCTGTTACTTTAACGTATGTATTTCCTATCTTGGCTATATCAGACCTTTTAGTTTACTTCTCTTTGCTGATTATATTTGCTTTTCTTGTATTTGTTTTCAGCCTTGCCTATTCAATGAGGAAAATGATGGCAGATAAGGCTTTGGTATGATTATTTGACCTTCTCTCTATCCTTCTTCTGGTTGGGAGGGAACAATATATATGATTCTTTTGGTATTTCTATTATATATCATGACAAAGAGTTGACGTGCAGGTGAGGAGGCTATCTGCTTGCGAGACAATGGGCTCTGCCACCACTATTTGCAGCGATAAAACTGGAACACTAACTTTGAATCAGGTGTGTTTTGTGTTTACAAATCTGAGTTCGCTCCATGTTAGAGTACGACTCAAGTGAACAGTTTCGCCACTTGATGATACTAAATGTTTTTTCTTTTATTTTAAAGATGACAGTGGTTGAGTCGTATGCTGGGGGCAAAAAAACTGATACTGAACAATTGCCAGCAACTATCACTTCGTTAGTTGTTGAAGGAATATCTCAAAACACAACTGGTAGTATTTTTGTCCCAGAGGTAAGTTTTAAGCTTTGATATTCTGACTGAAGGATCAGACTTTCTAGATAAGTTCCTTAACATTGCTTCTTTGTTGAGAAGACAAGACTCATGGGATTTTATTTGCTGACAGGGCGGCGGTGATTTAGAGTACTCTGGTTCACCAACAGAAAAGGCCATTCTTGGCTGGGGAGTTAAGGTTTAATTTTTAACTTTTTATCGTTTTCTGGTTCGAAATTTTATACCTATGAGTTGAAGGGTGATATGTGTTTTTTCTCTTTTAGCTGGGAATGAATTTTGAGACAGCCAGGTCGCAGTCTTCAATCCTTCATGCTTTTCCATTTAACTCAGAGAAGAAACGTGGTGGTGTTGCTGTAAAAACGGTAAATGTCTGCAGCCTAAAATGTAGATACTATGTGTTTTTGGGGTATAAAATCAGTTTTCTTGATCTCTTTCTTAGCTGAGGAATTTTTGTACTCTATTTCTATAAGGTTGCGTGAAAGATATAAACGGGTCTACTATAGTCGAAATAATATATATATATATATATATGCAGACTCTACATAAGCACAATTCAGTTTTTTTTTTTTTCCTGACTTTTTCTTCTCTTCGATATATATTTTCAGGCTGATGGTGAAGTTCATGTTCACTGGAAAGGAGCTTCTGAAATTGTCCTGGCATCATGCAGAAGCTACATCGATGAGGATGGTAATGTGGCACCAATGACTGATGACAAGGTTTGTGAAAAGTCTAATTTATTAACCTCCGAACTCATATGTATTTGTATGAATCTGTGATTAGCCTTTGGGTTGTCATGATGCTTAGCCCACTCCAATTTCTTTGATGTTACCAGGCATTGTTTTTCAAGAATGGCATTAACGATATGGCTGGAAGAACCTTACGATGTGTTGCACTCGCCTTTAGAACCTATGAGGCTGAAAAGGTCCCAACAGGCGAAGAGCTCTCAAAGTGGGTACTCCCAGAGGATGACCTTATTTTATTAGCTATAGTAGGCATAAAGGTGAGGATCGATTGGTTTGTTCATTTATGTACATATTGGCATGTTGTTACTTAATTTGTGGTATTTTGGCTCTCGTCCTTTGAGATCAATTTCGGTTTACTGCTTCACATTTCATAGTATTCCATTATAGGCAAATTTTTTTTATAGATCAGACAACAACCCGCATGTCATGTCCTGCATTATTCTTGGTAGAGTTTCTTATCGAAATGTTTGAAATGTGCACAGGATCCATGTAGACCAGGAGTCAAAGATTCAGTTCAGTTGTGTCAAAATGCTGGTGTCAAGGTAATTCTTTTGTTCGATTTAAACAAAAAAAAAAAAAAAACAGAAAGACAAGTGACAGAAATTTATTGTTTAGCCTCTTAATAATGCTGCATGATTACTTCATGATATCTGTGGATGTTCAGGTTCGTATGGTTACTGGTGACAACGTCCAAACTGCCAGGGCTATTGCCTTGGAATGTGGAATATTAACTTCAGATTCAGATCTCTCTGAGCCTACTCTCATTGAAGGAAAATCATTCCGTGCGATGACTGATGCAGAAAGGGACAAGATTAGTGACAAAATTTCGGTACTGTTCTCAACACTGCTTTTTAATTATTAAGTTTGAATGTGTTGGTATGTACATACTTTGAATGTCTTAGTCTCATTCTATGGGGAGGTTTGGCCTGTCACCAGGCTTCACCCAATACAGATATTCTCGTTGAATATCAGATGCATCGGTTTATTGTTATATGATGTAGTAGTAACAGCCTAAATCGAAATTGACTTTGTTGTTACTCCACATGTGAAGGTTATGGGCCGATCATCGCCCAATGACAAACTTCTGCTGGTACAATCTCTGAGACGACAAGGGCATATTGTTGCAGTCACCGGGGATGGGACAAATGATGCTCCTGCGTTGCATGAGGTATAGTAATTCTCAAGCAGTTGAAGCAATTTACTGAAATTTAAACTGATAATGTCGAAATCTACATCTACGAAAGTTTCTTTTGGCCATGTGTTTTGTCTATATATACTCAGAGAGCCGATCATTTTCTCATTGGTGTTAATTTTTTTGAGTGGATTCAGGCAGATATTGGTCTTGCTATGGGAATAGCAGGAACAGAAGTGGCGAAGGAGAGTTCGGACATCATCATCTTGGATGACAACTTTGCTTCAGTTGTCAAGGTTTATTCAAATTCACTTTTTCCTACTTTATAGATTCATTTGTTGGATTTAAGGTCTGCAAGACTCATAAATCCTTGCTTCATTAGAAAATTTATTGTGAATCCATTATCCATGTAAATTTTGGGCAAATCCAAGAATGTATTTTTCGTAATTGAATCTGTTGCTATTTGGTACTCCAACCTTAAACTTGTGGTGGCTTCTGATATATATAGGTTGTTCGCTGGGGACGATCAGTGTACGCCAACATTCAGAAATTCATCCAATTTCAGCTCACAGTCAATGTCGCTGCTCTCATAATTAACGTTGTAGCTGCTATTTCGAGTGGGGATGTCCCACTTACAGCTGTGCAGGTTTGAGTTTCTGTTGCATTTAGCTCTTTTCAAATCTCACTCTCTAAATATTATATAGTTTTGCTCATACATTTGGCTTTTTCTTTTAACATACAGCTTCTCTGGGTTAATCTGATAATGGACACTCTTGGAGCATTGGCTTTGGCTACTGAACCACCCACTGATCACCTCATGGGGAGGCCTCCAGTTGGCAGAAAGTACTGTTTTTGCAGCTTTTAGTTTCTCACAGTCAAACTTAATAACACATTTGGTTTTGTAGACATACTTATTGTTGTTTTTATTTGCTTTGACTTCTTTTTGCAGAGAACCTCTTATTTCCAACATCATGTGGAGAAACTTGTTGATCCAGGTAAAAAATCAGTGAATAGACTTTCTGATTATTTGAAATCACCCCCTCTTGTATATTAATAAAAAGTTGAAATATATATCTTTCAGGCTATCTATCAAGTGAGTGTATTGTTAACACTCAATTTCCGAGGCATAAGCATACTTGGCCTGGAGCATGAAGAGCATGCACACGCCACCAGAGTGAAGAACACAATAATCTTCAACGCCTTTGTTCTCTGCCAAGTGAGTACATTAAATCTAAGTCTTGTCATACTGTATAAAAACCAGAATGTCAACTGTATATGTTAATCAAACTCTATGTTAACAGGCTTTCAATGAGTTCAATGCTCGTAAACCAGATGAGAAGAACATCTTCAAAGGTGTGATCAAGAATCGTCTCTTTATGGGAATAGTTGTCATAACTCTCGTCCTCCAGGTAAATAATAATTTGGTGTATCACAAAAGCATTGTAATTTACATTTCATAAACCTTCATTTCTTTCACACTAAATCAAAACCGTCTTATTTTTCGTTTGCCAGGTTATCATTGTTGAGTTCCTCGGTAAATTTGCTTCCACGACGAAACTTGACTGGAAACAATGGCTAATCTGTGTTGGCATCGGTGTTATCAGGTCACTTTCATTATAATATTGTTTACAGTTAAAAATGTTGAAACATAATTATATATAATCTGTGAAATGCTTGTTGAAACATAACTAACGTTTTAGTTGAACCTTTGTAAATTGACCAGTTGGCCACTTGCTTTGGTCGGGAAATTCATTCCGGTGCCGGCAGCTCCTTTAAGCAACAAACTGTCAGCACTGAAATGCTGGGGCAAGAAGAAAAAGTCTTCTGGAGAAGGTAATAATAACTTACAGCTTGTGATTACTCCATTAATTCATGTGAAAAGTCCTTGTGTAGTAGGACTTGTTCTGAATTTAAACTAGTAAGGATTTGGTTAGATTATGTAGGGGACTGAAATGAAATTGAAGTTTGAAAAGCATGATTTAAGAATTAACAAGTTCGATTTTTTTTCTCAGGTTCCCTCTGATTTGGAGGCCGGTTTATCTCAGACACTCGTGAGCTCGTTTGATACTTTATTAGGACTAACAAAAAAAGCGTTTGGTTTGGTATGGATTTATTGATATTTTTCGGAAACCCCTTAAGTACAGTTTTCGGGGTTTGTTGGTCGGGCAAATTTGGATTTCTGGTTTTCTTTTTTGGTCTTTTTTTCTTTCTGTAATATGATCGACTACCTTTCGAATCATTACTACTGGGTAAAGATTTTAACCAAGAAATCAAAATTTGAAAAAATAGAAACTTTTACTTCCGTGTGACCCAGTTATTCAAGTGGCAAAGTGTTCTTGACCATTTTATTACACCTATTTAAAACTGTTAAATATAAAATAAAATTATACTCTCATATGATAACATTGAATATGGTAACTTGAAGTAAATCGCAGTATAACTAATGAAAACATTAAACGATAAGAAGATTTAATGTCGAACACTTTTTACGGGTAAGCGATTACGAGAGAACAATGCAACTACCGCGTAAGGAATCTGGAATGTAGGTAGACAGACATCAATCAATTCCAAACTTATACAACAGACGGTGAACAACTGGTTAACAGAAACCGTAAATAGGTCCCACGTGTCAGCCAAGTTTGGCCACGTCATAAATTCATTATCGGATACGGAAATCACTCGATGAAAAGCCAAAAGGGCCACTCGGTCTTTTGTTTTTCTGTCGACTGATATTTATGTTCTTTTTTTTTGTTTCTCGGTCGAATAGTTAAATTTTACACTATATAATAATTAATTTTTAAGCTTTATCCAAATTTTTATAATTGGGAAAAAACCCGAAAAAACCGCCATCTATTTTTTATTTGGCCGTTTAATACCTATACTTTTAAAATTGGAATAAAAATTCCTTCTTTATTTTTTGTTGTCTTTTAAAACCATGGTGTTTTAAAACTTGGTAATTTGGTACCTGCGAGTTAACAGTCGTTAACTTTGCTAACGGAATGGTTAACCGGGGTTAAATCTTAACCCATGTATTTAAATAGATATATATACAACATGTTTACATAATATTGCGAACAAACTGACATGGTCTGGTGGTAGGAAGCAGTTTTGGCCCAGTCTGCACCCGGGTTCGAATCCTACCATCAACATTTTTTTGATTTTGTTTTTCTTCCATTTTTAATATTCGTCGCCATCTCCCTTTCCTCTCTCCGCCGCACCCACTCATAGATCTATCAAGTTGTTCTCCAATCTTCGTTTTAATACACAATTTCTTTGATGGTATTCTATTTCGATTTGTTTTCTGATTCTCTACTTTGTACATTTCTCAGTTCTTTCTTCTTGTTTTTGAAAACTTCGTTGAGCATCGATAATGGCGGATCTAGATCCAGAGATCGCTAAAACTCAAGAGGAGAATCGGAAGATGGAAGCAGACCTTACAATATAACAATTAATTTACCACCGTTAGAGAAAGAGATTTGCCCAGAGCTCTATTGGCCGTCGGAGGAATTGTGGCCGGAGTTTTGTTGTCGACAGCGGCTAGGGTTTCTCTGAAGGAGGAAAAAAATTAGTAAAAAAAAAAGAATTTCGTTATCAGGAGTCCTCGAACACGGGTGCAGACTGGGCCAAAACTGATTCCTACCACCAGACCATGTTAGTTTGTACGCAATATTATGTAAACATGTTGTATATATATCTATTTAAATACATGGGTTAAGATTTAACCCCAGTTAACCATTCCGTTAGCAAAGTTAACGACTGTTAACTCGCAGGTACCAAATTACCAAGTTTTAAAACACCATGGTTTTAAAAGACAACAAAAAATAAAGAAGGAATTTTTATTCCAATTTTAAAAGTACAGGTATTAAACGGCCAAATAAAAAATAGATGGCGGTTTTTTCGGGTTTTTTCCCTTTTATAATTGTACGAATAAAGAACGCGGAGAAAATAAAATAGGTTAAAAAATTCACGCGTGAAAGAAAGAAGAAGAGACTGTAGACACTACATAGACTGGTGCTAAAGTGTTTGGGTTTACTCATTCCCTCTCCTTTTCAAGTGCCAGACACTAATACCTCTGTTTATTTAATGGTCGGTGAAGAACCGTGATTTGCTCAAATCACCAAAACAATACTCTCTTTCAATCTCCATCTTCCCGTTATCTCCGCCACGTGTTTCTCTCTTTTTGTCTCCTTTCTTCTTCTTCTTCTCCTCTAATCTTAATCTCATAAACCAACAACATCAGTAGTCAGTAGTACCCACACACACAGTGAGAGAAACCCTTTTTCGATTCTCCACTTTCTTTCTTCTGAAAAGATACGATTTTTCGATGTGGGTCAGTGTTGATTTCTCTCTTCTTGGCTTATGAGTTTCAAATTCGAAATCTGAAACTAAAAGCTTTTTTGAAACAAATGTTACTGACACCTAAAATGTTTAGTTCTTGGCTTCGAAAAGATGTGAAGAAGATTCTCAAACGCAAAGACAGTGATGCTGGTGAACGAGGTCAATTTCAAAACTTTACTTCAGTTTCATTGTTTGATTTCGATTTCGACTTCTATGTTTGATTATCCAATCTTATCATAGCAAAAAAAAACCCCAATTTTTTTTGAGATTAGGGTTTGATCACCAAAGAGTTGAATTTGATTTTGTAACACAATGGTTTCTAATTCAGGAAAAGCACTTGAGGACTTGAGAGCATCGTTATTCAACAGATTCCGTTCACCGGAAACTCCAAAAAGACAGCAACAACAACAACATCGTATCTGTGGCCCTACTGTTGCTCTTACTTTCAATTTCATTGTTGCTATTAGCATTATCTTCGTCAACAAATGGGTAATTTTAACCACCAACTCTTTTAAAATCTTCATTAGTGTTAAATACATCAAAGTAATCAGCTTTTTTTTTTTTTGTTTCTTTTGATTTCAGGTGCTTAAAAATATAGGCTTTGAGTTTCCAGTGTTCCTCACATTCATTCACTACATTGTAGCTTATCTACTAATGGCTCTTCTCAAATCCTTTTCGCTCCTTCCGGCTTCACCGCCTTCCACCAAATCATCGTCTCTTCCGCTTTACACTCTTGGCATTGTAATGTCACTCTCTACTGGTCTTGCTAATGTTAGCCTTAAGTATAACAGGTTTTTTAAAATATTCCCTGTCTCCTCTAGTTTTCTTATATTTCTCAGACTCTCATATTATTACTCACTTCCTTGTTTTTGTTTCTCAGTGTTGGATTCTACCAGATGGCGAAAATCGCTGTTACGCCTTCTATCGTGTTTGCAGAGTTTTTGTGGTATAGAAAGAGAGTTTCTTTTATGAAGGTAAATGAGATTTTTCTCTCTTTATCACATAATTGTTATATCCAAATCAAAATCTGCATTTGTTTTGTACTCCATTGGATTTGCATTGATCCATTAGGACTAGAGTTACGAAGAGGAAAAACTTTGGTATAGTAAGTAACCTTGTGGTTGTGGCTGATGTTTTTCAGGTGGTTGCACTTACAGTTGTATCTGTGGGAGTTGCGGTTGCGACTGTAACAGATTTACAGTTTAGTCTTTTTGGTGCTTGTGTAGCATTCGCATGGATCATACCTAGCGCAACTAACAAAATCTTGTGGTCCAATATGCAACAACGAGAAAACTGGACTGCTTTAGCGTATGTGAATCAGATTCTTTAGTTTTTGATTTCCGCTCATTCGTTCTCGCTGTATCAACATCTCTTCATTTTTTTAATCCAGGTTGATGTGGAAAACGACGCCAATTACTCTGTTGTTTCTTGTATCGATGATTCCGTTCTTGGATCCGCCAGGTGCTCTATCTTTCAATTGGAGTTATGCCAACACATCTGCCATTCTTGTTTCCGCTCTTCTTGGATTCTTTCTTCAATGGTCAGGAGCCTTAGCTCTCGGGTAAGTAAAGCTTCTAATATATTCATGTGGTCGCTTCAGTTCGATTCTCGTATATAGGTTTTAAGATTTGACTTTAATTCAGGGTGTTTGGTTTATCTGTTCTGGCTTCGATTTCGTTACAAAGAGTGTTCTCAAAGTCCAATTTTTTTTCCATTTATTTTGGCAGAGCAACTTCTGCAATAACACACGTTGTGCTAGGACAATTCAAGACCTGTGTCCTCCTCCTTGGAAACTACTACATTTTTGGGTCGAATAGTGGTTTGATTAGCGTTTGCGGTGCGTTTGTGGCGATTATGGGAACTTCGTTATATACATACCTTAACACGAGAGGTCAATCTCTGAAAGCTTCGTCTTCTTCTTCTGCTCTCTCAGACAAGAAGTCAAGATTCAGTGATCTTAAGGATGATGACAAGAATCTTGAAACTTACGGCTCCGAAGCTGTCTAGTCTAAAGTCTAACTTTGTAGTATAGTTTTGATTTTAATTATTCCACATTTCATTAAATTCTAATTTCAACTTTTTGGTTGTGTCGATTCTTGTTTCTAGTTTTCTAATTTCACCCCTGAAAATAAACAATTTTTCTTTTGGCAGCAAGTCTTTCAATATTTTTTTTTTTCTCTTGTCATCAAATGGTTTTGTATTTTTTATTTTTTTTGGAGATGTAAATGTGCTGAATATTTTGAAATTTAATGAAACTGTTTTTTTTTTGGTCATCTGAATATATTTGAAAAAGGATGAAATTTAGAAAACAATTCATAATATTAAACATATAAGAAGAAGAAAAATGATTATTAGACCAAAACAAAACCGAAATGTCATGAAATGATTTATAGGCCTTATGGGTCGAATAAGTCAAATGGGCCGGGTCGACAAAAAAAAAAAAAGAAGTCAAATGGGCCGGTTTTAGTGCTAATCAGTGAGGGAATTAGTCTTAACTATTAAGGAAATGTAATTATCTGACCGTAATTAGTGTGAAGTAATTAATGTTTTAGCGTTGCTCTAAAATATAAATTGATGAATTGTCGACAAGCACAGTTAAAATTTTCACTTGTACAATCGTTTTCCCCGAGATCCAAAAACTCTGTAAATCTGAAAATCGCCGGCCGATTTCGCCGCCGCATCTCCCCCTTGATCTCCGGTTAGTCAATTCCTCTTTCTTTGCTCTGTTTTCCCTCTTCCACCGCCGTGAATTCTCCATACGCATTTTGATATTTTCCGTCTGTGTTGAGTAGATCGGAATCCTTGGTGATTGATTCTGCTGATCCATTTCGAATTCGATGTAATGATGATCGTTTGATCACGATTCACGGATCGGATCTGTAAAATCTCTTTTTATCTTCGCACCATTGTTGAACAATTGAAATCGTGAGATGAAATGCATGATTTCGTAACTCAATTCTGTGGAATTTGCATTTTATTCGAAAACTCGATCGTCGCTTTAGATCTGTGCATAATTTGAGAGTACCTGGGATTTTTTTGTGACCTCACTTGTTGGTTTAGTGTGTTTATTGAACTCGTGAATTGAGAAACTGCTCTTTGTTTTTTTGGTTGACGAAGAACAGGTAAAAGATGGAGAAATCATGTACGCTGCTAATTTACTATGACAAAGGAACTCCTGCAATTGCAAATGAGATCAAAGAAGCTCTAGAAGGGAACGATGTATCTGCGAAAATTGATGCGTTGAAGAACGCAATCATGCTTTTGCTTAATGGTGAAACTTTGCCTCAGCTTTTCATCACTATTATCAGATATGTTTTGACGTCTGAAGACCACACTGTCCAGAAGCTACTGCTGCTTTACCTGGAGACAATCGAGAAAACCGATTCGAAAGGGAAGGTGTTACCTGAGATGATATTGATATGTCAGAATCTGAGGAACAACCTTCAGCATCCGAACGAGTACATCCGTGGAGTTACCTTGCGGTTCCTTAGCCGATTGAGAGAGACTGAAGTTATGGAGCCTCTGATTCCGTCTGTGTTGCAGAATCTGGAGCATCGCCATCCGTTTGTCCGTAGGAACGCGATTTTGGCTATTATGTCGATATATAAGCTCCCTCAAGGTGACCAGCTTTTGATAGATGCACCTGAAACGATTGAGAAAGTTCTGGCTACCGAACAGGATCCCTCTGCTAAAAGAAACGCTTTTCTTATGCTCTTCAATTGCGATCAAGACCGAGCTGTAAACTATCTTCTGACTAATGTTGATAGGGTTTCTGAGTGGAATGAATTGCTTCAGATGGTGGTTCTGGAATTAATCAAGAAGGTTTGTAGGACCAAACCATCAGAGAAGGGGAAATATATTAAGATTATTATAGCTTTGTTAAATGCCCCTTCATCTGCAGTTACTTATGAATGTGCCGGGACACTTGTTTCTCTATCATCTGCGCCCACCGCTATTAGAGCAGCTGCCAACACCTACTGCCAGCTTCTTCTTTCTCAGAGTGACAACAATGTGAAGCTTATTGTGCTTGATAGGTTGAATGAGCTCAAAGCCTCTCATAGGGAGATCATGGTTGAGATGATCATGGATGTGCTAAGAGCACTCTCTAGCCCAAACCTCGACATTCGCAGGAAGACACTTGATATTGTCCTTGAATTGGTTACTCATCGGAATGTTAATGAGGTCGTGCAAACGTTGAAGAAAGAAGTTGTGAAGACGCAAAGTGGAGAGCTTGAGAAGAATGGTGATTATAGACAGATGCTCGTCCAAGCCATTCACGCTTGTGCGGTCAAGTTCCCTGAAGTAGCAAGCGCAGTGGTACATCTTTTGATGGATTTCTTGGGTGACACCAACGTGGCTTCAGCTCTTGATGTGGCTGTTTTTGTCAGAGAGATCATAGAATCAAACCCCAAATTGAGGGTTTCAATCATAACCCGCTTGTTGGACACCTTTTATCAGATTCGAGCTGCAAAGGTCTTCCCATTTGCGCTTTGGATTGTTGGGGAATATTGCCTATCACTCTCTGAAGTGGAGTCTGGCATAGCAACCATCAAGCAATGCCTCGGTGAGATGCCGTTTTACTCAGCTTCCGAGGAAGCAGAGTCAAATGATTCCTCAAACAAGACTCCGCAGAACACCTCTGCTATAGTTTCTTCTAGAAGACCTGCCATTCTTTCTGATGGGACTTATGCTACCCAAAGTGCTGCCTCTGAAACCGTGTTCTCTCCATCTACAGTTGCTCAGGGATCATTGGCTTCTGGAAACTTGAGATCTCTTATACTAACTGGTGATTTTTTCCTCGGAGCAGTGGTTGCTTGCACATTGACTAAACTTGTTCTGAGATTGGAGGAAGTGCAGTCATCCAAAACTGAGATTAACAAGGCGAAAACACAAACCTTACTCATCATGGTCTGTATGTTGCAACTAGGACAATCTCATGTGGTTCCCCATTCGATTGATCCCGACTCTTATGAGAGGATCGTGCTCTGCATAAAATTAATTTGCCACACAAGTGACGAGATGAAGAAGATTTGGCTGGAATCCTGTCGCCAGAGTTTTGTCAAAATGCTCTCTGAGAAACAGCTAAGGGAACTAGAGGAACTTAAAGCCAAGGCCCAAATATCTAACGCTCAACCTGATGATCTCATTGATTTCTTCCATCTAAAGAGCAGAAAGGTAACAAAATCTCGTTTCATATATATACTCCACCATGGCATTATTTTATTGTTGATCTGACTGTCAATACAATTGTGAAAAATCTGTTTCAGGGTATGAGTCTACTTGAGTTAGAAGACCAAGTACAAGACGACCTAAAACGTGCAACCGGTGAATTCACCAAAGACGAAAATGATGCAAACAAGCTTAACCGTATTCTTCAACTCACTGGATTCAGTGACCCCGTCTATGCAGAAGCATATGTGACAGTCCATCACTATGACATAGTCCTCGATGTCACAATTATCAACCGTACCAAAGAAACCCTCCAGAATCTGTGTTTGGAATTGGCAACCATGGGAGATCTAAAGCTTGTCGAGCGTCCTCAGAATTACACACTTGCACCTGAATCAAAGAAGAAGATAAAAGCCAACATCAAGGTTTCCTCTACCGAGACTGGGGTGATCTTCGGGAACATTGTCTACGAGACTTCAAATGTCATGGAGCGAAACGTCGTGGTCCTTAACGACATACATATTGATATCATGGATTATATCTCTCCTGCTGTGTGTTCAGATTCCGCATTCAGATCCATGTGGGCAGAATTCGAATGGGAAAATAAGGTATAACTAAACCGAAATTTTCCTTCTTACTTAAAGCTTTGTTTTGATAACTCGAACTGAATCTGGTCTTCTATTTATAGGTGGCTGTAAACACTATGATTCAAGACGAGAAAGAGTTTCTTGATCACATTATCAACTCAACTAACATGAAGTGCCTCACTCCAACGTAAGTCCCACTTCTACTCAATCGCCTTTCCTATTAAGCTTGCAGGTTTCTCACCATATTTTCCCTCTGTTGATTCCAGATCTGTGTTAGAAGGCGAGTGTGGGTTTCTCTCAGCTAACTTATACGCCAAGAGTGTGTTTGGTGAAGACGCTTTGGTGAATGTGAGTATCGAGAAACAAAGCGATGAAAAGCTTAGCGGTTACATAAGAATTCGAAGCAAGACACAAGGGATTGCTCTTAGTCTTGGAGATAAGATAACTCTTAAGCAAAAAGGGAAAAGTAGCTGAAACCAAATTCACTCACTATCATCCTTTCTCTATTAAGTTCAGGTACTCTCACATTTATCTTGAAGCTACCAAATAGTGAAACTGATTATGTTAGTGTCTGACTCAGTTTCTTGGTTTTACTCTTGATTTCTCAGACATTGTGTTTTATCCAAATCTTTCAGGTTCAGAGCAACAGTATTTGCGAATTCGAGTTTTTTTTTCTTTCCTTTTTGTTTGATCTGTTATGAGCAGCAATTTTATGTCAGGATATTTCGATTATTATAATGAGGAAGAATAAGATGTACGGATTCGACGAGAACATGGCTTTTTAAAGTTGTGATTTGTTTGTTTTCAATTTTAATTAGTAAGAGTTTGATGACTTGATAGTATATGCAATGAGGAACAAATAATGAAAGCTCATATATTAGCAGTAATTTTTGGCAATAAGAAAAATGAAAAAATTCAAATGTTTTTAAAATGCTCATGCCTGTTGATATCAACATGAAACAGTATGAACATTAATTTGGTATAGTACAAGATAAGATTCACGAACCCAAAACAAGAGAAGAAAATGAGACATTATAATAGTAAGGTGCTCAGAGAGACAAGAGCTGTCACTGAGCAAATGTTGTCTCCTACTCAATGCACAAAAACTTCTGTAAACTTCAAAATCGTCATAAATACTTTTTTACTCCTAGTATAAATATTATGTTATTCTCTTACGCATTTCATTAAATAATACGTGTAAACAATTAAAAGATCTATTGTCAGATAAGTCAGAAGTCAGGACAACTATATAGAGAGAAGAATTGTTATTGAATTTCTCATGTGTTGTTGTTCGTTCAATGTAATGTACGTTCCGACCAGAGAGCGAGTTCCAACGTCTATCTCATTGTTTTGATACCCCACGTGATCGTTTTCACGTTACACAGTCAACGCCTCCAGAGCCAAGCCATCTTTTCTAGTACATTACATATTTAATTTCAAGGGCAGATCACCGATACGTTTTGAGGAGCTCATTATCAAACTTAATGAAAAAGAACAAAACAAATTTCTATTTCGTAAAAACTCCGACAGTTTGGTTGAAAAGTTTGATATGTTAGATCAGATATATGCAATTTGTCTATATATAGAACGCAAAACTTATCAGCATCTATCTTATTACACGATCAATTGTCTAGATTAGTGCGTTATTATATATTTTGGATCAGCTTTATGCATCCAAACACACACCAATGTTTCTACTCCACGCAAATTCTTTGTATCACTCCAAAATCTTCCGTGTGATAATATCTTATTGGTGACAAATATGCACACTATATAGGAGAAATAAATTATATATATTAAGTTTCCTTGTTTTTTACTCAACGAATTAAAATGCGACTACCTTCAAGGCTTCAACCAACTATGACGTCCACAACTTTGCATTCATATTTTTTTTGGGTTAAGTACAAGTTCACATGCATATATACAAAAAAAATTGGATAAGACAGAAGAAATAAAATTAAATAAGACAAAAGAGATGAAATTAATTATAACAAAAAAGGTTATATTTGGAAGGATTAGTGCATTTGATCCAAAACAAAATAAAAAAAATTGTGTATATAGAGATTTAGAAAAGCACAAGATCTAGTCTAAACACACTTTGCGCCATCTAGTGTATGATTGAAAAATTAGTGTAATTTTAATAACATGCTTCACGGCCATCGATTAGGCCTGGGCATTCGGATTTCGGATCGGATTCGGTTCGGATTTATTCGGATTCGGATAATTCGGGTAGGAGATTCTATTATCCGTTCGGATTTTATGACTATTCGGATCGAGTTCGGTTCGGATAGTGTCGGATTCGGATCGGTTTCGGATTAATTTTGGATCGGTTTGCGAGGGAAAAAAACTAAAAAAATGTTCAATTTAAATAAAAAATAGTTTTAATCTTACTAAAATTTGGCTAAATTTTCCAAAAATATGTATAATTTTAACAAATATAACTAAAAACTTTCGAATATCTAGGTTATTTAGGATATTTTTGTTATTTGTTATAAAATTATAGCTAAATATAACTAATATTTTTGGATATATAATTTTATTTTCGGTTTTCGGATATCCTTTCGGTTTTCGGTTCGGATCGGGTTCGGTTCGGATAATTCGGATAGGAGAATTCATTATCCGTTCGGGTTTTGTGACTATTCGGTTCGGATTCGGAGCCGGATTTTTCGGATCGGTTTCGGATCGGTTTTCGGATTTCGGATTTTATGCCCAGGCCTACCATCGATAATCAGAAAAACAAATAAATAAATCATTGTACTCGCACATCCCAAAAATTTAATAAATGTAACAAAAACTACAAAGTCACGTACATGCATGTGCATATAATTAATTATACAAAGTTATCTAAATTTTCGACTATCATATGCTATAATTTAATTAATGCGACATTGCATGGTCCCATACACCTAAGCCTGACCTGGAATTAGTCTTTTTCGTTCTTGTAATTTTTCCTTTTTGTTTGAAAAAAAAAATTCACCTTGGGTCGTATCGCCTTTGATTTGCACATACGTTTTGATTATATAACTTAAAGCCCCAAAAGAACGTAGTAGAGTACTGTTACAGGCAAAGCAACCAGCATTCCGAATATAACCCTGCAAAACAATATCAAGTTTTTGCTTCAATATTTTAACACTTTGACATATGGAATATATATTACTTATAAAGAATTTTTTAAACATGTATCAACCATATATATATATATATATTCAGAAGTAATTTTAATCAGAATATAAAAAAAATAACTTACGCAGTGCTGAGAATATCAGGATGGACGTTGTATTCTTTGGCGAAAACAAAAGGAACGATTCCTTGAGGAAGAGCAGCCTTCAAAAATACAATTTTTCTTATCAATAATTGTATAATATTATTTTTAGAAACGTTCTACATCACTAAAGCATTAAACTGAAATATATAAGACTAAAGCGTAATCACCTGAACGATGGCGATATGGAGGAGATCGCCTCGAATACCAATTGCAATTGAGGTGGCTGCGATCACGGCCGGTCCGGTCAAGAACCTTACGGCCATCGCAAACCCTGCTACTGACTTTCCGCACGCAATAATCTTTGGTTGCAATGCCATAAATAGACCTAAATATATCACCAATAAATATATATATGCTAATTAGCAAATTAAAACAGTACCAAAACTAGAACTGAAATATATGCATTTATATGAAGTGGAACTATACCAAGACTAAACATAGCCATTCCAAGACCAGCATCGGATAATATTGAAATCGATCCACTCATTATCGTTGGCATCTTTATATTCCACCTGTCACATAAAATGATCAACACATATCAAACAATTGACCAAGATATTGTTATGTGTTATATGATTGTGACATTATTATTAGTTCTTACTTGAAAGAGACAAGGGACCAAGCAAGGCCAAAGAGACTAGAGTAAGTGTTAGGGTTTCTTATAAGTTTTCTCCAAACCATTATCAGTATTAGTCTCGTCATCACACTCGCCGGCGGCATCTGCTGTTTCCTCGGACCAGGACCGCCGTCTTCCACGTCACTACCTTTTTTGCCCATGTAAGGTGACTTTCCCTCGTTATTACCGTCTTGGTCCATTTCCACATGCCCTTTTCTTCCCGGTGACATGTTCTCTATCAGATTCTGCATCGCTGTCATCATCAAGTATGAATTTAATAAATTTCAAAGAAAATACTAAATTTAATATGATCTTTCTTCCAACAAAAATCTAACTTAGTGAACCGAACGGAACCAACAAAATTCTACTTTAATTCGTTTTAACCGAGATTAATGGGATTTACACATTTTTTTACTAGAAGTTATATAAGTATATGATAAGTAATGAATTAAGTGGGAGATTAATAAACCTTTAGAAGCGAGGTTGTCCTGAGAAGGGAGAGACACTTTAGTGTCGGCGGATACGTCGGTGGAGGAACCTCTGGTCATAGCATTCCTCGCGTTGGCTTCCGACACCGGAGAAGCACTCGAACTCCACACGAACATGTTCATCTCCTTGTTCTGTCCTCCTACTCCTACTCCGCTTCCTCCGCCACCACTTTCCTTTTTCTTGACTCCACTCGTTGACCCCGTGAACATTGGGTTCGGTGGTGGGTACGACGGAACTGACAATAAATATAGAAATATATTTTAAAACATTAATTACACTATAATTATAATGTAAAAAAATATTACATTTAATTTTTCAAATACTAAATTTATATTCTGGTTACCAAAATTACTATCAAAATTTAAAAACCTAATTTTTAGGAAATGATACTAACTTATTTATGAATTACTAAATTTTTAGGAACGTTTTTAAACTTAATTAAAGATATCCTACTGAAAATCACCGGTGGCTTTTGATAAATAATAATTTTTGTAAATATACATACAATACTAAAAAAAAATCTTCTGTATCGATTCTTATATCTATTTTAAATATATAAAGAAGCAAAAGAAAAACAAAAACAAATAAAAAATCATACCACTATTATTGTTGTATAATTCCCCACTCATGCTTCTTCCTCCTCGTCCTGCTTTCTTTGCCGTCTTCATAACTTCCTCATCAAAATTAGACGTTCTTGGCGTCACGCCTTTGGAAGACTGAAGCGAGTAAACATCTCCACCGGGACCAGCTCCGGCGCCTCCGTAGCTATTAGTGTAACCGTGACGAGGGCTCGGAGCTTTGCTTGCGTTAAACATTGCGTAGAAATCTGTCTGATTAAAGCTCGAAGCTCTCGGCGTCGGCTCTCGTGACGACTGAACGGAGTAAATCTCGACGCCGGTGAGATTTGAAGCTCGTGGCGTTATCATGGAGGAGTTAAGTCCTCCGCCGTGAGATTTGTTGAATGATGAGATCATTGATGAGGCGGCGCTTGATCTTCGAACCACCACGTGTAGCTTTCCGTCGTCTCCTATCTCCGCATCGGTCTAATGAAAGATATAACATCTTTTTAGGTGATGAATTTGAGACGATGTGATCTAAACCGGATATAACCGAACCGGTATTAAAAGAAGGAAAGCTACACAACATTTTATAATTTGATGTTTCTTCTACTTCATATTGTAAATATCAGTTTACGAAAATTGTCACTAAACTATACTTTAATATGCATCGGATGGAATATTGTGTATATATTATATGAATTAAAAAGAAAGCTAAATAATTTGGTTTGACTTCTGAGAAAGTAACTCGAACATTAAAACTTTCTAGTGTAAAAATTCATACCTGGAGGGGTTCACGGCCATTAAGAGAGATAACATCAGAATCAACTCGGAAGGAAGTAATTGAACCAGCCGTCTCCGGGAACTGCTCGGAGATCAGAAGCTTAGCACCACGGAACTCAAACAAGAAGAGCATTAATGTATACCATATGATGCTCTGAAGCACCACGATCTGCACCATTAGGTTACCGGAGAAGTCCCCATACATCGCCCGAAGCAATGGGATTCCCATTACCAGCGTGTTTGGTAGTGTTGATAGCGAGAAGAGCGTTATCATCCATTCTAGGCTTCCTCTGCGGCTAAACGCCTGAAAATAATATCACATGCAATATATGTACAAACATGAGAATGTGTGTGTAATTATTATCCAAAAAAAAAAAAAAAAAAAGAGAGAATGTGTGTGTAAGTGTGTTTAGAGACACATAGTAACTAAAGACCTAAAATGTTAACTAAAAGATCTACCCGTGTTAAATGACCTAGTTACTATGTTGGTCCACGTCTAGTAGTATATTACAAGTTTTCTATAACCAAAATGTTTTCGAGTAAAAATTGACCATCATAACGATTACTAGCTAATAGACTACCATCACTTAATCAAACAAAGAGAAATGAAGATAGATTATGTGCATAGAGAGATTATTATAAGAGACGGGCCTGCCAAAGAAAGAGCGCGGCGAGGATAACGACTTTCTGAAGAGAATCAGCGGCGAGGAAGTGGTAATTCATGGCATAAGGATCATTGGAGGAGATAAAATGGAAAGAGAGAAGAGGAACTGCGAAAACCGCAACAAACCGGTTTATACCGGAACATTGGTCCGGTGTAAATATTCCCCACCATCGTACCGAACCGTAGGCTAATATCATAGCTACGTATAGCGGCACCATAGCCGCTAAAACGTCGTACATGTCTTTGCCGGTGATCATTTTGCTTTATTCTTCCGGCGAGAGAGAGAAGAAAATAAATAGAGATGGTGAGAGAGATAAGTATATGTGGTGTGGTATAACGTATTTATGGAGGAGGAAGTGAATTAAGCTCCTTGAGACGATACTTAATTAATGTTGTTAATTTGTGTTAAAATAATAGGATTCGTGTTCAAATTGAATTATAGCTAAGCTAAGCTATAGAGGATCGTTTGACATTTGAATATTAACTAAACAAAATATAAACCAAAACGCTTTCTTTTTTTTCCTTCCTCGGTATTTTGTGAATTGACAAATAGTAATGCAGTATTAATTTCAATTTGGATAACTAAAACGATTATCTCAACTACAAGTGTTACATGATACGTAGTTTTTGTTACCCTAGATTGTTTTTTTTCCATAATTTTTTTTACTGTCCTAGATCTTTTTTTCCCGTCAACACTAGATATTTTACACTTTAATAAATGTGTAATCCTTCTTTATTTATTTCTTCTGCAAAAAGCCGTTATATTTAATTTAAAGAAAACAAAGAATCTTATCTTGGGATAAGGAAGATTGGTTTACCTTCTGTCTCGTGGTCTAATATTATTTGAAGTGAAATTAAATGCTTCAGAGATTATAATTACACAAATGTTAGATTCAAAATATCTGTAGAGTCAGATACTTGGATCCACTTGTACGTGTAATACAAATTTGTAAATTAAGATAGATTTTATACTAATAAGAAAACAAAAACGAGTTTTTGTGTAAGCTATTGAAACGGCGAAGGATGATGGATATGCACATGGTGTTGAGAGCATCTAACTACACTTTCTGAGCGATCTGCGGTTCCCTGTAAAGATCTGATTTTAATCAGGAAAATTACAAATTTTAATTAATTTATTTTGTAATCTTGAAACGGTGTATTTTTGTTTTCAAACGAAATTTTACAACTTTACCAATAGAAGATAATGTTTGTTATTATTTTTTTCATTAGAAAAATCTTAATGATTTCTTATTAAGTATACAATCAAAGACATTGGCAATCGGACCGGATGAATAATAAGCCTCCTTCCATATTTTAATTGTCGTGTTTTCATATTGCAAAATGTCTACGTATTCATCACGCCACGTGATTGAGCGAAAACCCTACGCGTAAAGAGGAAGACGAATCTTCTTCTTTGGTAGCAAATCTTGAAATGACTATCTATGGCTACCATGGATGCTTATTTCTACACACGGTGTGCAGTGTGCTTCCCTCAACGGCTTTATCTGTCTTTCACACGAAGGTCGGTTCATGAATCATGATATATAACCCTAGCACGACACAAGTCATAAGTGACGTTACCCGAAATCGAGGGTACTAAGTGGAAGTGTACTTATAAATATTTGGGGTACGATCCAGTTGATGATCGATACAAAGCAATGTGTACGTGGGTTTCAAATTATGAAGGTGATCAAGAGCACATGGTTTTAACACTTGGAGGTGATAAAAAAAACTTTCATGGAGACGCATTGAAGGCAGTACTCGGGATTTTTATCCTTTAACAAAAGGGAATATGCAATACTGGTTTGTATATTATGGCGCTCGGACTACTACCTATTTAGGATCCCAGTGATTGTGTGTTTTGATGTTAAATCAGAGAGGCTAAGTTTTATCAAATTAACCACCTTCGGGGTTCATTGCCACATGGGAATCTACTTCAACTTTGATAAACTACAAAGAAAAGGTAGCTATTAGAAGATGTCAAAGAACATAAACGGTTGAGGAAAAACATGTTTGTTTTCAAATCATGGTTGGTGGGATTCTTCACGAGAAGTTCCAATGTCTTTTCAAAGCACCAACAAGACGGGCAAAATTATTGTTTCTCCAAAGTTTTTACCCCACGACCGGAATTTCTACATTTTCTATTGCGATGTAGAAAACGGAACCATTAGAAGAGTTCAGATTAAAGGAGTTGCAGAGGATGAAGATTTTAGGAGTCGTTATGGAATTGGAGAAACTGGTAAATGCCATGTCTATATTTCACCTGACATATGGTAGAAATATTAGCTTTATATAATGTGTTTTCTATTTTCTAAAGGTCGATGAAGTTTTATTTATATAAGAATAAAGGCCTTTAATAAAGATCTTGGTTTTAAACTTTATCCATGTTTTTTTGTTAACTCATGAATTGAAAGAGAACAACCAAAAAAAAAAAAAGAGAGAACAAACAAATTGAATGTAACCAAAAATACAGGAAGAAAATATTGAAAGATTCAAACTTTGTTTGCAGAATCATCCTTCTTGGCCACTTCAACACTTTCCAACGGTGGTAAACTCTGCAAAAAGTAAAAGACAATAAGATTACATATCTCTTATAGGCATTTCATCGAACACTTTCTGTGCATTACATTATAAAGAGAAGGAAAGAAAACCTGGCGATATCTGAAACGGATACTAACGATCAATCTTATGGGCATTATCAAGAACGAAGAAAGTGAGAAAAACTAATACATTTGAGCATCTAACATATGCGTTTTTACAGAGAAAGTGAAGCTTACGAGATCTGGCTTATAGATGTTGTGGACGACAGAGGCTCCGGTGAGAAGGGAAGCAACGACGACGACGGTTGACAATGCCAGAGACGGAGTTCCCGTCGGCAATTTTCCTTTATACGATTTCTTCATCTTTGGCTCTGCTTTTTGACTAAGCGCGAGAGAATTTGAAAAGCTTTTCGAAATTTGAAGTTTGCTTTTATAGCAAGTCAGCTTATTACGATTCAAACGCGCAGCTCTCGCGCGTGGGAATCACGTCTCTCATTATTTAAGGCCAATTTCCTCTGTTTCTTGACTCTGCTTTTCACGGCATCTTTTTTTGTCCTCCTTGTGAAAAACATGTCTAGAAGTTGTTCAAGAAGATGTTTCGTGTTGAACAAAACCTCTTCTGTTAGATGTGATCATAGATTTGGTTGTTCCATTGAACATTTGTTTACCGCATATTGTCTATATGGCCCCTTGTCCACCACATAGAGGTTGGGATTTTTTTTGGAAGTTTCGAGCTTAAGAGTAAGAGAAGTCACGGATTGCTTCATTGGCTCACATTTTTTTTTTACAAGGAAGAAAAAGAATCCATAACTTATGTGCTTTGTATATTTTCATGTTGTTGCTTCAATATTCATACCTGATCTAGTGATCTTCATATTACATTTAACAACCACTCATTATGATTCGTGTTGCTCCAACTCCAAGAGATCAATCTCTTTCAAACCTGCATAATTCAACAACAATATTTAATCCTCTCCATTGTTTAGACCTAGTATCCGACAGTCTTACAGCAATGAATGGCAACAACCATTTGTTTTCTGGATTTCCAAACATCAAAGAACATCATGCTTCAGTGTAGAATGAAAGACCCTTCAATCCCTTCTTGCAAAGGTATGTGCCATACTATGCCTCAAACACGGCATACGTCTAAAAGCTTCAACATGTACTTGAATACTTTCTCTTGACGACTTGACCTCCAGCTCCTTTTTTATCCTTTGAAACTGCTCTTTGACACATTTTGCCTATACATGTTTAAAGTATACGAAACATATCCATTAATTTGGTGATTACATCATCACATCAAAGACTATTCACATATAACAACGTTTTCATGGAAACATAGATATCTAATACCGTGTTAAGAAAAAAAACTTATACATAGCTCGAAGAATCATAACCACTATTTCGACAATAGTATTGGAAAGAGCATTTACAATTTACAAATAATGTGAAAGTAGAAGAAGAATGAAAAGAAAGGAAAATGAAAAGGTCACAAGAGGTAGGCCCAACAAAATTCAGAGCCCACAACTATATTTTCATATCAATGGGCCATACATTATACAGTACCAACAATAATATCAACACCAAAGTTATTGACTTTTCATCAGACACTCCAAACTGAATAACCAAACACACCAAACCAAAATCCCTCAACCGGTTAAACCCAAAAACTAACCAGCCAGTTCGAACCAATTACCACTAATAACTATACCGATAATGCCAATATTACCCGTAACTTAAATCCGAGTCCTTGTGTCTCCCTGCACATTGCTTAAAATCACAACGAATTTGCCAATCAAATATAAAACTTCCCTTGAAGATGTTTGTGGTATGATCCAACTTATGCATTGCAGCCTTGCAGAACAAGAGAGAAGGAAAACTATGTCGTTTTCGTAATGGGCCTTTTGGGGTCTTACACAAAGCCCATTTACCTTTTTCTTTTCACGGAATTGATCTTGTCGAGCCTCCACTCGTCTCTAAGCCTGGCGATGAAGTTGTCGGCTTTCGTATCAACGTCCGGGCTTGGACAGAATCCCGGCATACCTCCGCCGCCGACGGCAGCTTTAGTCTCAGCTCCGCCATCAGATTGTGTGAGTTCTAGACCCCAACCGATGTCGAACACTTCCCGTTCAGGGGAGCTACATCTAGAGCTTTGATTACTCCGTATCTTCGCGAAGTCGCCACTGACGACAAATTTTAGCGGCGGAACCCTAAATGGAGGCGGTGGAGGTGGTGGAGGCGTAATTTGGATTAACGGAGATCCTTGGCCGTTGTTCTCTTCATTGAAATTCGTCGGTTTCGTCGGACGCGGAGGTCTTCCGGATTTCACTCTCCGTGGTGGTGTCTGAGGATCAAATTGGGTATGTCTCGGCGGTGGAGGTGGAGGCGGCACCGGAACGGAATGAATCTTTTTGTTGCTCTTAACTCCTTTCTTAAACAATCCGTAGAATACTGATTGTGACGATCGAGGCGGAGGTGGAGGAGGCGGTGGAGGAGGAGGCGGAGACGGTGGTGGAATTAAAGATTGGTATTGCGGTGGTTCCGTGTCATCCACCACCACCGGAGAAGATTCGATTCTCTCTTTTCTCTTTGATATCTGAAGCTTCTTCTTCCTCTTTCCTTGATTATACAGAGAAGCGAAAACCATTTTAATCTCTTTCGCCGCATTGCTCTTTCTTCGTTGAAGAGTTCCTTGTTTTCTCGGTGGTGTAGCGGTTATAAGCGGAGGCGGGGGTGGCGGAGGCGGTGGTGGAGGTGACGGCGGAGGCTGAAACGCTCGTTTAAACTTAGTGTCACTGCGTTTAACGTTTTCTTGTATATCTCTGTTTTTAACAGAACGATGAGTCCTTCTCGGTTTTTGGGAAACTTCAACCGGCGGAGGTGGAGGAGGAGGTGGTGGTGCCGGTGGTTGTTGCGGCGGAGAAGACGGTTTTACAACGAATGTATCAATCTGAATCTCTTTAGGCTCAGATTCTTCTTCGATCTCAGTTTTAGAACGATTCTGAAATTCTTCGTAAGAATTGGAATCGTGCGATCGGTATTTATCGATTTCGAAATCGTCGTAAAACCGAAACCGGCGATCGCCAGTTTCCCTGAAAACTCCTTGTCTCAGATCAGGATACGAACTACAACTACGCCTCAACGGTACAGTTCCGGTAACCGGTACTCCATGAGAAAAACTCCGACTACTCACACTCTCATAGATCTTAAGCCTATCGACGTCATACACGTCATCAAACCACTGCTCTGAAACCGCCGACGACGAGGAAGAGATTTTGCTAATCTCACCGACGGTCATTTCACCACTCGTCACAGCTCCTCCTACTTCTTCTTCTTCTCCGCCGTGTAAAGACTCTGACGACAATCCGTCGTCGTTTCGTCTAGCGAGTACGCCGCATAAAATCGCGAAAACTACTAAAACGACGTTAATCGAATCCCATCCTCGCTTCACCGATGACGGCTGAAGAATCTGAGATGTGACCGAGAGAAACGGAGGGATCACAAAGTTCACAAACAAAAGAAAAATCGCCGCTGAAATAACTCCGATCATCGCCGGAACTAACATCGCCGGAATTGGTGATCTCCGGTGAGTATATCCGGTAGATTCAAACTGAGGCCAGATTAGCGGCGGTTGATCGTCCATTTTTGCCGGTATAATTTTTGAATAAAGAGGAGAGAGAGAGAGAGAGAGACTTTTGTCGATTTGATTACAGTACATTAATGTGTAAACGTTTATATAGTGGTAATATTATGTGGCGGAGAGATTAACAATAATATTAATTTTAATTACGTTAACTATGATTAAGATTTATAATCATACGGACACGGAAAGGAATTGTTGTCATGGTCTTGAACGATGTCGCGCCGAAGATTTGTTAAAATAATTAGTATTAGACTCAATTCAAATAATTGAGTTGGAAAATTCCTCGAATTGCTTCACTTTATTTCATAAACAGATAATGCACCATAATTCCCATTTCCCAAAATATCAAAAGTTTATTATAGTAAAGTTATAATTTTTGACGAATTTAGAATAAAAATTTGTGAGAGATTAAAAAAAGAGCTATTTGATAATGACATGAAAAAACTAAGATTGATATGTTATTTTCTCGTAGCCGTCCAACTACATTTTCAGCATTATTATTTGAATAGTCTAATTAATCGGATTTGTTGCATGATTTATAAAAATGATTGATAAATTATTTTCATTTTTTAAATTGTTGAGGATGTTGCCACTAAGGCCCGTCTTGGATAACCCTTGTTTACAAGCAATGTCGAGCCGTCGACCAGAAGATATATATATAAATTTTTGCTTACCAAACATTACACTAATCATGCAAGTAATTAAAGCATATAATGGAACATATGTTGACATATCAAATACTAATATTGTTTAGCAAGGAAACATTTCAACACACGATTTTCTATTATACCGCGAGATTTTTACTAGCTACGTAAGAAAAAACTTCATGCTCAAAGTAAGACTTCAAGTTTTATTACAAAAATATACTGCCTAGTCAACAAATAAATATGAAAAATCTTATGATTGTGAAATTTTCAGAATAACACGGCGTAACATTCGAAATTAATAATGATATTTTTGGGGACTAAAAGCTTTATTTTTCTTAAAATAGATCTCTTGGATTTGTAGTAGATTTCCTGAAATTAATTTAAAGTTTGGAATCTAAACCTCGGGATTTTGTTCACAAAAGTTGCAAAGATTACATTAAGTCGTATTTTGTTATTATATTAATCATTACTGATTTACTGTTACAAATATCTTATTTTATACTGTTTCCTAAAGAATGTCAAGGCATACATCTTTTACCACGGTGGTTCATGAAGACACAAACACATTTGTTTATGTACTCTTAACTCTTAAGGCTTAACATTCTAATCCGAAAGAACAAAACAAAAAAAAGTAGGACTGAAAAATACTAGAAAAGTTAGTTAAAAGTGGATGTTAATAATTATTTGGAACTGTTTAACCATAATTGCAATTGCAAATCCACTAGCTACAGTAATTTTAAGTGAAACAAGAAGCATGTGGAAAAAGTTTTAGATGTAAATTTGCTGAACTTGCTAAATACGCAACACACAACTGACAACACACGACCCTGTTTTTTCCTATTTGTATCATGTCAAGACTCAAGATGGTTCGTAAAATACTGTTTTTACATTTTGTAATAACTCAAGTTTTACTTCTACGTTTTTGTCATTACTCTCGCTAAAACACTCTCACGACGATACCCAAAACATGCAATGTTTAAACCAATTTCCTATATGTGATATGTCACTCCGCTCAACATAAATTTCATCCACATAAAAACGTTATTATCTCTTCATGTATGACTACACAAATCCTATATATATGATACTTTAAAGAAATGTACGATATTTTGCTTGTACTTAAAAAGTCCACGTATAGTATAAAACTTTGTGTTACATATAAATTTGGAAAATAACTTTAGAGTATGCTCATGCTCTGTTGATAGAAATAATTGGAGCGTGGTTATCATCATTGTAAAGTGTTAACTTACCCTTTTCTCGCTACACCACAACCCAAACCTCCGCACCTTTTGTCGACCTGTCTCTGCTTAAACACACATTTCTTTTTCTATTACAATTATTCGTTTTATAAAACGGAACAAAAGAAAAGTAAATTGCGATCTACACACAAATTTACCCTATGTTGAATAAGTTTTCTCTAAAGAAATCAAAGACATATAATGATTCTTTATTCGTAAAGATTGTTTTAGATTTTTAGTTTTACAAGAACAGGATTTGAAATGTGCATGGTGTTGTGCATCTTTTTGTTGTTGTCGGTGTTTTGTATATGGAAAGATGATTTACGCATCGCAAATGTTATTTATGGTTCATCCTATAGTTAACACAACAAACTATGATCTATGAATAGAGAAGTTTGGCAACTTTTTAGATAACAAACAAAAATTTAAATTTAATTTTTTTTTGGTATGAATGTTAAGTTTTATACCATTTTTTACTTTTTGACAGAATTTATGCGTAATTATTTGTAAGCTCGTTGTATTTAGTTTTAAAATCGCTGGTCTTAAAAAAATTAAAGAATTCGTTTACAAAAAGAAAACTCTAGAGTTAAAAACTTTGTACTACCTTATTTATACTTTCTATTATTTCGGTTGGGTAGAGGAGTGGTTATCATGCTTCTAGCTTTATAATAGTGTGGTAGATCAAACGATATTGAAATCAAATGTCGATGGTACGTAGCAATAGCATTCTAGATCTTAGATGCACCATAAGTTCTTCAATACTTGCTACCATCGATAAGTGGACGGAGCAAAAAAATTGAATAAAAAAACATCACTTGATACAAAAGGTGAAAAAAAGGAAAAAGGGGACCAGCATCCAATCCCAACCCTTTAAACTCATCTTTAATTTCTCATAAACACTTTTAACATTTTTGTAGTTTAGTACATTATGAATATTTCAAATTAAAAGGGTTAGTTAAAAACACTTTTCAACCTAATAATACTTGTAAGCGAATTAATGAATAAAATTAATATATAAACCCTGATTTTTGGGTTGTGTAACGTTCCACCTTATCGTTAATGTGTTGTACACTCGGCCACCACCATTTTCCAATTTATGTCACATTATATTTTTTGGAAACAAACAATTAAATGCTTAATAAAAAGCTGGGATCAGACATTTTTGATAACCAGAAAAGGGAGCCAAGCTTATACTAACTTATACGTAATTTTAATTCTTGTAAATTACTATTTACGTAACATTTTGAAGTTAAGACAATCCCAAATTTTTAAAAAATAAAATAATATTGGTAGCAACTAACATGTTATTAAAACTAAAAAAATAATAATTTAACAACACATTTATGCTTGAAAATATAGAATTTGATAGTCCTAAAATTATGGCCCTCGCCACCAGCTTTTCTGTCTGTGAAAAAGAAATATTATTAATATTTTGAAATTTTGGCTCTTATCTTTCTTATTCAGTGTCCCACTATTAAACCTAAAGACCAAAGAAAGAAAAGTAAGCATTAACTAAAAACATAAATAAAACTATAACCAAAGAAAAGGAGGATAGCGATTTACGTATAAAGAAAAAAATATGGCTTATATTATAAGAGAAAATCGGTTTCGAGAGATCACACAAGGTTTTCTAATATCTCATAAATTAATCAAGAATCTGCAGGTGATTTACGTGGGTAAAAAAGTTAGTGAAAGAAAAAGTGATTACCATAAAGTATTTTGTCCAACCAAATATTTGCTGAGCCATCGAATCAAATAGTTTCCATAGGTCAAAATTATTTATTGATCTTACATGTGACAAATCCACCAAACATTGATCAGTCTTTTTCTTAAGACTCAAAAACTTATAAAATTGTAAGTATCTTCATCAAAAGAGACCGTGATCAGCTTCAACCAATAGAGTTGTTTGTATCCCTTGATAATCGCATAAATCATGTAACACAAACTAGTATCATACGTTTGTGAAACCCTTGAATTAATACAAGATTTTAAAGAAGCCACCCTTAATACTATTGCTAATTAAGTAATTGTCGTCTGATTGTATAATTAGTAACTTAATTGATTAAAGTGATAGTGTCTTAGCTAGCTACCAGATTCAAACTCAATTTCCGCATTAAAAGGTTAAGAAGATCCAACAAAAATTGTAGACCGAAGAGTCAGAATTTCTGGTTTTTCTTTTGTTGCTAAACACAGTTTACATAATTGTTTTTTTAAGACATATAGTAAACAAAGAATGATGACTTAAATAAATGGACACAGATGGACATAAATTCTGGAGTTTAGGTACAGATACCTGTATATTGGTCTGGAAACGAGCCAAAATATGAAAATAAAATATATAATTAAAACAAAAAAAAAAAAAGAAGAAGAGAAAGAGACAGGCTGGGAAAAGAGAGACGCTAGATGAATCGGAAGTATCGTCTAAGTTTCTTGAAACAGCCTGTCTCCCACACGTGCGATTTATACCAGATGATCCAATCGTATTACATGTCGTCTTATTATAGTAATTGATTTATTTATGATAACAATTAAAGCTCTTAATGATTCGATTATTACTTGGAAGAGATCCACAAATTTGTCGTGGCATTAACCTATTGGAAGCTTTTAGCGATTGAGAATAATCGAATCAATCAAACTTCTTCTCTTTGTTGATAAGTACAAAAGATATACGAACCCACCGTACCTATATATCTATCATTGGAAACATCGCATTCCGTTTTTACATTTCGAGAGTAGCACATCATGCCGTCTTGAAGATTTAATGTACGTGTAAAACGGCTTGGAGTTTGGTACACTACCTTAGTTAGGACTGAAAAACGTTAATTCATTGCATGATATAACCAAATTTCTATAGTATAAGTATAACTTTACATTAAAAGTTAATTCATTTAATTTGTATACATTTTAATTTAAGTATGTTATATGTTGATATATTGAATTGAGTTATGATTTAAGAAATCTTCAATAAATGGGCTCCACCGGAGATCAACATGACAACACATACTAAACGGCCCACCAGAAAGAAAACAAGTTCGTCGTTTAAGGCTAAAGCAAACTGCACAAAATCAATCATTAGAGAATCATCAATCATAGCGAAATATGTAGCTACAATACAACCATATCTTTATGTTGTTTTGTTCTTTGTACGTGTACAAACTCTATAAGTTGTGATTTGTGAACAAAAAATTATACACAGCTTGAGAAAAAGATCGAAGTAAAATTCATTGGTTTATGTGAATGTACATGAGACATCAACTTCCGCGACCATTCCTCTATGAACACGGAACTTATAGGTATGAATGATAAATTACATAGTTACTTGTATATCTTAAGGATAGTAAAACCACCGGAAAGCAAAAATCACGAGTAACACAAGAGAGAATCCCATCGCCTGCAACAATTTAACATCGAATTCATAGTCATTTCGAGTAATCTAGAACAACATTATTAGACTATATCGACTCTAACCATAATATGCATACACATGGAAATCATATATAAGTACTTACAGTGATTGCGGAAGCAGCAAGACCGGCTCTTTCTCGAGGATCTTTGCGGTAATAGTTCCCGAAGTAAAGAAATGCAGCATAGTACCACAAAAGTGGGAACATAAATCCCAGGAGAAAGCTGTTTAAAGTAAGTGAAGATTAAATTAGGATTGGTTCTTAAGACCCGATAATACGGAATTAACAGGAGAACAAGTACTCACGAGAACCATCCGATTCCACAACCAAAGCATGGAAGAGGTTTGTCATATGCTCCTGTTTCCATGTCGTCAACATCTTTTACAAGTGTATATCTTCTTTTCCCACGAGCCATAACATCTATCAAAACAGAGACACTGTCTTTTACTTAGTTCAGGGTTATTAATAAGGTGTTGACACATGACAAGACTAGGTGCCTAGGCGGTAACAGTTTGTAAAACGGGTCGTGGTACTAACCTTTAAGTGCAGAATAATATCGAGCGGCTTGTTTCATTAGTTTGGTATGCCTATCAGCAATGAACTTAGCCAGCTCGGTTCTACCATTTCCAGATACAAATTTAGTATCTGCAATAAAACAGATACAATATTCACTTGCACACCTATGGATGCACACACACATCCCAAAAAACGCAAAACCAACACATATATATCGTACTCTAAAAACTTTGAAGTAGATTTCCAACACTTACCAACGTCACTCAAACAACATCATTGAAATGAAAATGGACACGGAGAAAAAAACGTAATCTCGAGATCTCATCTTAATTTAAGACATCTCAATCTCGATTCAGACAATGCTATTGTGCATACCAAATCACAACTCAAATGCCCCCAAACTTTCATAACAATTGTAGTAGTAACACTAGTTTGTTCCTAGATATAGTTTGATTCTATATTCTAATTAAATTAACCTCAAAGCTTATAGTTGAAGAGTCAAGAGAGCTAAGAAATAAAAGGCAAGAAGATAATTACTTTCGTCCATGATTCAGCTCTTGCTTATGGATATGACCCAGATCTTCAAATTTTCCTGCATTCATAATAATGAGAACATCTGAATTATACACAAGACCAAAATACAAGTATGCTTCGAGCGAAACCCTAGCAGCAACCAAAACCCACACTATAATTCGATATCCCCATCAAATCAGCAACCATGAAAACTTTATACTCAAGATACGACTCGTCTCTTGAACAAATTGAAAATTTTGAGCTCAATTTCTACAAGATTATCCTTAGAAACCAATCAATTCGTTGATCCATCTTTCATTCAATAAAGGAAATTGCTCTGAAAAAAAACAACAAAGATCGCAGATAGGTAGCTCACCGAAGATAAGAGTATTAATGCAAGATTTGTCGAGATGAATCTGGCAATTAAACGAATCTGAAACTGATAGTTTCAGACAAAAATCGTGTCTCTTCCTCTCTCTTTTTTTTCTTCAGTCTTGTTCAACTTCGTCGGCGCTTTAAATGCGTATAAAGCTGAAGAAGAAAGAAATCGAAACTCTGGGGAAAGTAAAAAACACTCTTTTACTAACCACTTTTTTTTTTCCCTTTTTTAAAAATATATATATTTTACCATTTTCGACTAAAAGCATGATAAAACAATGTTATTCAAAGAGATAAAATATTCTGAAAATTAAGAATAAATATTTATTTTTAACATTTAAATATGATGTTAAAAAAAAAAAAAAAAAAAAAAAAAAATATATGATGTTAAATTTCATTTCTTCTTTTTATAATTGTTTATGTGATGAAAAGACGAGTTTTTTGGGGATAAAATCTGCCTTACACACCACTTTACCATTAACTTGTGGTCTAAGTACGTATTATTTTGTCTGTATCACCTACAATCTTAAAATTCACACGTTTTTTTTTTTTTTTTTCTGTTTCACGGATTTGACATAACTAGTTTATTTGGTTAGTGTTGTAGACGTAGTTGTAAGTTAACTGATAAAGTTTTATTAAAATTTGGTTTACAAAAATAAACCCAAATGAAAAAATATAGTGGTGATAATATTAATTTTTGGTGAAGTCTTCCTAGTTCCTACTGCTGTTAACATCGGAGTCTCCCTCTCGTTACCAAACGCCTTGCTAAAGCTGATTATCTCCCATTATTAGAGCAGATCAGAAAGAGAATTGGATCATGGACAGCGAGGTTTCTCTCCTTTGCTGGAAGGTTAAACTTAATCAGTTCGGTTTTAAGGAGCATATGTAATTTTTGGTTGGCGGCGTTCAGGCTTCCACGGGAATGTATACGGGAGATTGACAAGCTATGCTCTGCCTTCTTATGGTCGGGAGCAGAAATGAGTTCAAAAAAAGCAAAGATATCTTGGGAAGCAGTTTGTAAACCAAAGCTAGAGGGTGGGCTTGGTCTACGATCACTAAAGGATGCAAATGATGTTTGTTGCTTGAAGTTAATATGGAAAATTGTCTCCCACGGCAACTCACTGTGGGTCAAATGGACTGAAACAAACCTCCTCAAACATGAATCTTTCTGGTCAGTAAAGCACACAACGAGCTTGGGATCTTGGATTTGGCGAAAACTGCTCAAATATAGAGATACGGCAAAATCTTTCTGTAAGATGGATGTGGGAAATGGAAAGCAAACTTCTTTTTGGTACGACAATTGGTCGCAGCTGGGAATTCTTATGGAAGTTGCAGGCTCTAGAGGTGTAATCGATCTTGGTATAACCCGGCAAATGACACTAGCGGAGGCTTGGACTGATCGTCGACGTAGAAGACATAGAACTGATTGTTTAAACTCGATTGAAGAAGCAATAATCTCAACTCGGCAACGCAGAACAGAGGAAGACGATGTTGTGTTATGGAGAGGGAAGCAAAACGTCTTCAAGCCAAGTTTCTCTACTAAAGACACTTGGAACCACACTAGAACCGGTTCAAATAAAGTTGCTTGGTTCAGGGGAGTTTGGTTCCCCCACGCAACTCCCAAATTTTCTTTTTGTCTCTGGCTTGCGGTACATGATCGACTTCCAACAGCAGATAGGATGGCAAAATGGCAGGGGGGGCCATCAATGGCATGCGTATTTTGTCATCATAGCTCAGAATCCCGAGATCATCTATTCTTCTCATGTGGGTTTGTTTCTGAAATTTGGGCAGCGTTGGCTAAAGGCATTCTCAAATCAAGGTACACGGTTGACTGGAACTCTCTGGTTACATACGTCTCTCAACTTCAAAGTACTCGTTTGGAGAGCTTTATAGCTAAATACCTCTTTCAAGTTACGGTGTATAATGTGTGGAGAGAGAGAAACGGGAGACGGCACGGCGAGGATCCGATCCCAGCATCTCGTCTCATAAGAATGATTGACAAACAAGTACGGAACAAGTTTTCCTCAATCAGGGCAAGCGGTGATAGGAGATACGACAAAGGACTTCAACTTTGGTTTGAATCGAGAAGTTAATCTTTAAGTTTATGCATATGTTCTCAGCTTCAAATTTTCAAAAACTGTTGCACTTGTTGTACAAACGTTTATTTTTCTTTTGAATATAATTTAACATTACATTCAAAAAAAAAAAAAAAAAAAAAACATCGGAGTCTCTGACCGAAAGATAAAAATGATGTAAAACTATGTTTTAAAACTATTTAACTCTTACCAACCACACACAAATTTAATATGGAGACAACAAAAGTTATAAAACATCAAATAATAGCATTAGATATTTACGTAGACGAATGTAGTGTTTATTACAACCCCCAAGATAAAAAACAAGGGGACTTTTGTTTGAAAGCTACATTATCTCATGTACATCATATCATGTTAGTTAAAAAAAGATTAAACAATGGTGGGAAAACTAAACAAAGTAAATAATAAAACTTAAGAAGGAAATTAATATTACAAACAATTAATAATAATGTAATTATTACCTGTTTATATTTTTTTCTTCTCTTAAGAGAATTTACCCACCATCAAAACTTTTTTTCTTTTTTTTTCCAAACCTTCTTTTTCAGTTCAAGGATTTGCTCTTAAACTTCCTTATTCCCTTCAAATCAACCACTACTACACTTATATTGTCTTTGCTTCCTTTTTGCAAAGCCATCTTCGACAAATACTCGGCCGCAGACATTGCTGCAGGATCTTTTCCTTCTCCTCTTTTCTCGGCCGGAAGCAAAGCCTCTCCGGCCATCGCGTTCTTCTTGTGCCATAACAAAATCCTTTTCCGAGCCAAATCGCACGCTTCTTCATTTGTCATTACATCCCAAAGACCGTCACTTGCTAAGATGAGACAGTCGTCTTCTTTGACTCGCCGGACTGAAGTCACTTCTGGATCCGGAATTACTGACGGTTTTAGGTATCTATCGCCTGTTTGCAACAAGGTTATAATGTAAGGGAAGAACTAAAAGACCCAAATTCATGGAATATTTTCTAAAGAAAGTTGAATCATTTACCAATGGATCTTGACATTGCGAGCACACCAAAAACACGAGCCCCGTTCCACCGGATGACTTTCCCTCCGGCTGCTTCTATCCTCGCCGCTTCATCATCTCTATCCGGCTACACATAAATTGTAGACCCAAACGCTATAAGGACATTGACCAATCCATAGAAAGATGCTATGATTGGTAAACACCATAAGAAAACACCGCAAGTCCTAAAGAATTACTAATTGTTTAGAGTAGTCCGTTCATAGAAACTGCGATATAACTATTTCGTCTAAAACATCTATACTTACTTTGTGATCAACGGATAACGCGAGGGGCGTTTTGCCGCGACACAAAACCGCCCTCGAGTCGCCGCAATTGGCGACAAAGATGTGAGTTGGAAAGACAACTGCAACCACCGAGGTGGACCCAACTGTTTCCGGAGCATGCGCCACGAGTTCAATCTCTGAGTCAACTCTCATAAAAGAGTTGAACAAAGCCTTCTTCCACTTCTCTTGCCACGTGTCACCGTCGCAAAACTCCGGCTTCTCCTTCACTATCTCCTCCGTCAAAGCCAGATGCATCCTCTCACGACAATAATTCGCTACCTACACACACAAAACCAAATCTCAAAAACCAAGTTTTGTTTTGCAGAATCCGATCAAATCAAATGGAATCAAATCGATCCATTACCTGAGAACCACCATGGCCATCGTAAACACCGAAGAAATGAGCACTCAAGTGAGGATTAAATCCATTAGTGACTCGACCATCAAGCAACGAATTTGAAGAAACTTGAAGGAATCTAGGAATCGTTGAGACAGAATCTTCCATCTCTGGTCGTCTTCCACAAATCGAAGTCACTCCATATAAAGGAACACTCTTGAACTCGAACAGACTTCTACTCTCTGTTCTACTCAGTACTTTCTTCTCACTCTGATTCATCGATCTCGAATCAAACTCATCTGAGCCGTTGATTTCATCTCCGGTGGAGATATCCACGGTAACATCAGGTACAGCAGATGATGACGTTGATGATAATGATGATGTTAGTGAATCTTGTCTCGTGTTGATTTCAAAGGATGAATCTTTCATAGCTCCGTCACCGGAACAAGAACTTTCCGGTAACGAAACCCTAGATTCGCCGTTGCAATAGCCTCTAATTCCGGCGTGAGGCTCAGTGAATGGTCTGAATGGAACAGCGACTGCAGGAGAAACTTCGTCCATTAATGGAGGAAAAAAAAAAACTTGTTGATCTTTAACAAAGACCCAAATCAGGAATCAAATTTGTAAGAGAAAGGAGACAAATTGAAGTTTGATATCTAGTTTCAAAGAGACAGATGTTTGAATGTTAAAACGCTTCGGTGTAAGAGAAAAAAAAAACGAAAAGTCGACAGATTTGAACATAAAATTGATGAGAGTGTTAACTTTATTAGAGAAGATGAAGACAAGAAACTCATGACTCATAAGAGGAAAGTGAAGACAACCTTAGCTAGCACATGAAACAGATAGAGATTTGCCAATTAAAGAACCCAAAACATAAAAAGAGAAAGAAAAAAAAATTAATCAGAGTTTCCTGGGTTCTGGGCAATTCGTTTCAGCCATTTAGAGATTCTGATCTCTCTCTCTCTCTCTGTCTATCTCTCCTCAATTAATTATCAATTTTCAGCTTATTTATCTTCACAAACAAAAAGTTTAGGGAAAAATAGGTTTTAGAGAGAGAGAGGTCTTTATTTATTATAGCACAAAGATAGATGTTTTAGTGAAGAAAAATAATTTAGAAAGACATTTATTTATTTATTTTACTAAGAACTTCCTATATGGAAACGAAAAAAAGAGTATATTTATTTTATTTTGACTTTGTTTTTTTTTTCTATTTACTATCGTGTCACCACTCCATTATTGCGTATCTTTATCGAAGTTTTGAATACATGTTTATACGTTTCCTATAGTACAAAATATCCTGCATTTAAAAAATTAACGTTTTGAATTTAATTTTAGATAAATCCGAAATTACACTTACACATTGAGTAATTTACTTATATCACATAGAAACAAATTTCTTAAAACCTTTTTGTTTAATTTGACATGCCACATGTCAAATAGAAATTTAAAAAGACAAGGGTAATGATTGAATTCCTTAACTATTTTCTAAGACTTTTTGAGTTAACAACTTCTGTTCATCACAAAAAAATGAAGAAATTATTGATTTTATATAAGAAGATAAAGACACCAAAAAATATACTACAATTTATAATAAATTTTTGTTTTGTTTTAATCATTATCATTCAAATTTTAACTATTTAAAAACGTTCCTGAGTCAAACTAATATTTAATACCCTTTTGTTTCAACAAATCTTTTTATTAATTTAATCAAACATATTCATCTACATTAACCAAACTATACAAAAATGCTAATAAAAATACTGAATTTAATCTCAACACTTTAGAAACTAGAAAGCTTAGGGCGTGTTCTTTTATGTGTCACGCGATCGACGTCAGCGACAACAAAATTTATTGTTTTTTTTGAACTTTATCTCCTTTTTTGTCGCCGGCATGAGAACTCTAGAGTTCATCGACTCAAATTATCAAAGAAAGTTAGTGTCGCCGTTGCCGCTGAAAAAAGTAGCAACACCTGTCTTCTTTTTATTGGCCTTGTTTAGCGACTGATATCGTAAGATCTGGAATTTGGTGGAGTTAATTTCCTCATTTCCTTTGTAAATTACAGTCGCTGACTACAAATGGCACGACACGTAAAAGAACACGCCATTTCTCTGATATTTTTGGTCCAACTTTCATATATCATACAAACTCAAGAGTCTTAATCCTACTCATGCAATTCTGATCCAAAAGCTAACCAATTCTCTGAATTCGAAATCATTTTCCCAAATAAGTGGGATTTGTGAAGAAATGAGAGCAATGTCTCACCAAGCTTTGCCTAGCCCAAATTATTTAGCGTGGGCTCTTTTTAAAAGTTAAAACTTTATAATTATTATTTTCATGTCTAAATTTTTCTCATATTATTAAAAAAATATATTAAACAACCAAAACCATGACTTTTTTTTTTTTTTTTTTTTGAACAACCATGACTCTTTTTTACTGATTTGTACACAATAGAATGGTTTGTTGAGTTTTGCCACTTACAGATTTTACTAATAACATTAAAAATATCATATCATGGTTATGCATAACTATTCATTCAGAATCTGAATAGCTGCAATTGGGATACCAACGATTCCCATAAATATTGTTTCAATAGTCTTAACAAAATAAATTTGTAGTATGACCCCCAAAAAAAATTGTAGTAAAAAAAAGAAAGGAAAATTACATTTGTAGATAGAGTTTAAAATAAAATAATGACATTCGGGTGGATACCAAAAACAGAAAGGACGATAAATCAAACTCAACAAGTGTTGTGTGTTGTGTTGTCAACAGATGATTCTATTGATAAAATTCAATCTTTTTTGAAATGGCAATAAAGTGGGTCCCACTCTTGTCGGGAAACAGACCGGATGATCGCCACGTAGACAGAGAGAAAAGTCATTAGATTTGGTGAAGAGGATGACGTGTACGGTGAGAGATCTGTTAGTTGGGGTGGCGGGAAAAGATGAGCCAAAGAGGTTCATTGCACTGACATAGACAACCTCCGTAAATATCTTTTTTATTTGGTGTCTGTTTTATTGATTTATTTATTTTTAGACAAAACTAATAGGTTTATTCCACGTGTTACATAATCATTGGACCATGTAATGATATGTGAAGTGAAGGTAGCTTTGGATGGGCAACAAAATACACTCAACCAATCATATAAATATATAAATAAAACGTAAATATGAAATTTACGTTTTTATTTTATTTTATTTATTTACGATTTGATGAAAAAATATAATTTAATGGATATGAGTCATGTGACCTTATGATTTTATTTTTATTTTTTGAGATATACGTAGATACATAGTCATAGATTCATGCATATTTTTTAAAAAGATAATTCAAATTTTTTTAGGATCCCTCGCAGCTGTCAGATAAAGTAAATTATCTTTTGATATAAAATAAAACAAAATCAGATCATATGGTATATGTGTCACATGTTTTGAGATGATCAGTTGCTTACACGGATCTGTTAAAAGGTAGTATTGAATAAAGTGGCGGGCACACAACATCTCAAAAATATAGAAATTTCGATTCATTAAATTTAGTCAATCTGATATAAAATACAAAATGATAATAAGAAAATTATAACATATTATAAAAAAAAAATTATAACATATTTCTTAATTTTTATACATATATCTTAAACGGTAAAAAAAAGAAAAAAGAGAGATCTGGAGGTTATGTTTATTAGTACTGAGTTAATTTAGCTGTAAAAGTAGTGAGATGTGTATTACCAAATGGACTGGGCTAGGCCCATCGATTCTCTGATAACTTTTATAATAAACACGTTTGATTTTTTGTTGTTGGTGAAACAATTAAATTTCTGTACACAATACGAAATTGATTTTCCCAAGTGATTATGGACAGATTTTTCATTTTTGTTTTGTATTTTTGTATAGTTTTGTTTTAAGTTACCTTTAATTTGTGGCTCAGGTTTTGTTTTCTCCTTATTTTTCTTGACCAATTTTTTTTTAAAAAAACATGAAAATATTAGTGTAGAGAGACACAAAACGTCTTTGCTCCTGTGTTGAGCCTCTAATCCAAGATTCTCTTCCATGGCTTCTATTTTCAGACCTTCTTCAGCTTCACTTGATTTACGACCAAAGGTATCAAACAAAAATTAGCTTCTTTATTCACTCATAGTTTTAGGTTATTCGAATTCCAGAAATTGCTCGTTTAGGTTTTTTTTTTTTTTTCTTTTTTGAATGAAATTAGGATTGTGGTATAATTCAATATCGATTATTAATCGTTGAATTGATGATGAATCTTTTTTGGTATATGGAAGGTTATTTGCAAGAATCTCTCTACGAGAGAGCGGTTTGAGTTCCAGAAAAAGAGTCTGAGGAAAGAAAGGATCAATGTTAGGTTTTGTAGCTTGAAGGCTAATAAAGCACAAGGACCAATTGAAGGGATTAGTGTTGTAGAAGAGAAACAGCTTAACAGCAAAACCGGTAATTAACCGATCCCCGCCTTTTTTCGTTTTCGGATTACAGAACACAACTGATAATAAGTATTGTGTTGATTGTATGCAATTACAAATTGGAATCAGCATTTCTGTTGGTTATAACATTATAAGCAAATGTCACCACCATTTATCTAGACATTAAGCTCGGATTAAACCGGTTTTGATTGTTGATTGTTTTTGTAGATTATGGAGTTGTTGGGGTTCATCATGTTGGTCTGCTCTGCGAGAACCTAGAACGGTCACTCGAGTTCTACCAGAATATTTTAGGCCTTGAGATCAATGAGGCAAGGCCTCACGATAAGCTTCCTTATAGAGGAGCATGGTTATGGGTTGGTTCAGAGATGATTCATCTTATGGAGCTTCCAAATCCAGATCCGTTAACAGGTAGACCCGAGCACGGAGGCCGGGATCGACACGCTTGTATAGCAATTCGCGATGTTTCAAATCTGAAAGAGATCTTGGACAAAGCTGGTAGTTATACATTTTGATTCTTGCTTTAAGGATGTTTCTTTTGTTCTTAAAGACTGAAAGAAGTTTTTTGTTTGTAGGGATCGAGTATACGATGAGTAAGTCAGGTAGGCCAGCGATATTTACTCGTGATCCAGACGCAAACGCTCTGGAGTTCACTCAAGTTTGAGTTGAGTCTATTTGTAGATGAATCCTCTAAACTTTCACTTGATTATAAGTTGTAGATGCTCTTCATATAGAACAGAGAAAAGCAAACCAAACTGTTGTTGACTTATTATTTAATACCACAATAAATATTTACAGACATGATACACCCGAGTCAAACAAGTTCAGGGTATTTATACAAATTAGACTAGATTGTCTATATATTAGTGTGATCAATAGGAGCCAAGAGTAGTGGAGAGGTCTAAGCGTGAACGAGATCGCCACTCTTGTATAGCCGATCTGAGAGTGTGGTTCGGTGTAAGATCAGAATTTTTGAGCCGATGCTTCGTCACGGGAGACACATTTTGATGTTTTTGGATCCATGCCTTTATTGCTTTTCCTTCGTATGTGAATCCATCTGCTGCTATCTGTGGATCTTCCATTATTTCCTGCAATCAACCAGAATTAAACATTTTAAATCCTGAGCCATCGAGAATTGTGGTTGGTGAGGGCGGTTTTTGGTTTACCTTAAGAATTGGACAGTAATAGTGAGTTGGTGGTTGTACGTTAGCTTGTTTTGTATTGAGTCTACTATTTGCAGATTCAAGAATCCGTTTGAGAGCAGGCAAGACTTGTGTGCTGAGATCTGGTCTGTCTCTGCATTTGAGCTGCGAACACTTGATTGCAATGCGAGCTAGTTCTTTCGCTTCGGCTATGGGCCAATCTTTGACTGATCCATCTAACATATCTTCAAAACAGCCTCTCTTTACTGCGTCTTCAACACAGAAAAGAAGTCCGTTGGGATGTCGAGCGGTTAAAAGCTGGAGAATTATGATTCCAAATGCGTAAAGATCTGATTTCGGTCTGATTGTGCCGGTTCTTTGGTATTCCGGGTCCATGTAGTAGAGTGTACCGGCGATAATCGAGTTTCTGTAAACCGTGACACTGTCTGGTGCTTCTTCTGACATGAGTTTTGCGAGTCCAACGTCGCCGATTTTGCTAACAAAGTTTCGGTCTAAGAGAATGTTGCCTGGTTTGAGGTCACGGTGGACGATGGGATCAGGTTTAGAGTTGTGGAGGAAAGCTAAACCACAAGCGGTTTCATAGATGATTCGGAATCTGATAAACCATGAGAGAGATGGTTTCCCTTTTTTGGGGGAGATGTGACAATCTAAGCTACCATTTTCCATGTACTCATAGACAAGGCAGCCATTTTCAGGACAAGCACCGAGGAGAAGAACCACATGGGGATGACGAAGCTGGCTTAAGACAGAGATCTGCAAGGTCAAATAGTTGATTTCAGATCTCAGAGATTTAAAGGCTGCTGTTATTATTGGACCATATCCAGGAGATTACTTAGTAATTTACCTCTCTTAAGAATTCCTCTTTCTTTTCGACTGAATCAGGTTTGAGAACTTTAAGAGCTACTGGGGTATGATCGAGACTGCATTTGTATACTTTTCCATATCCTCCTTCACCGATTATTTTACGGGAAGAGAAATTATCTGTAGCTGCAGCTATTTCTTCTTTGGTGTACTTTCTGTACCGCCCGTCTCTCAAGAAGAGTTGCTCAATGACTTTCTGTTTCTCAATGGACTGTTTGAGGGCATCTAGCTCGGCTAATTGCCTCTCGCAGAACTCTTTGGCAAGCATTGATTTTGCTTCCTCGACTTCTTTTACAGCTTTTAGATGCTTTTCTTTCTCTTCTGCTGCTGCTTTCCTCCGCATTTCTTCTTTTTCCAGAGCAGTGATGACCCTTTCCGTTTCTTTAATACACTCAGAGGAAAGAGATTGGACCTGAGGTCAAAAAAGGGATTAAGTTTATGAATCCATAAGATGCAAAAACATTTGGAAAAGATTCGGAGAAAAAAACAAGTTTGCTTCTTGAACTCCAACCTGCGTTTGTTTATGAACTAGCTCTTCACAAGCCTGTTTGTACATGGAAAGAGTGGTTCGTACTTCTTTCCTTAGCTTCTCTACCTCAGCTTGTACACCTGACTGCAAAAACAGGTCTTGAGATCAAAATCATATGCATTTTGTGTCACAGAGAATCAAATGCAACAGAGTGTAAAATGGTTATATATTAAATGCTTCACCTTTGGTGGTTTTATGTGTGGTCTAGGATCCAACTGTCTTTGACTACTGGAAACAGTACTATGTCTGAGGATAGAACGGCTGTGTTCGTCATCGGCCAAACCGAAATCAGTTGAAGACTGTGCATCAGAAAACACTCGAGAGATTGGATGACTATGCGGTAAAGAGGCAGCCCTTCCATTTTGCATCCTGCCTGAAGATGATATGGATGAAGCAGACAACCCCGTCTTCTCAGAGCGTGAGCGACTGAAAGATTCAGTATAAGCTTCAGCTCCATCTGGTATACGGAAACTAGATGATGAATCTGTTGAAAGTTTCACACAAAAACACAAACCACAGCCGAAATCAATAAAACACGTATTTTTTCCATCTTGATTTCACATTTTAGATCACCGGAAGTGAAACATACCTGCGGTAAACTGATTTGTCGATTTGGTTAAGATTCTATCTTTGCAAACAACATATATCTCACATGTCTCTGGAGCTTCTCCCAATACCGTTAATGGCATTTCTAGCCCCTTTTTTCTGTTAAAACAATTTCAAACATCTGAGCAAAATTATACCATATACAAAACACATACTTCTGATGGCAAGTCATTACCTAGTGAGGAAATTTGAAGAGCAAGAGCCAATCACTAAACACTCAACCTCAGAATCTAACATATACTTCAAAAGTGCCTTTGCAGGATCATGATGTTCCAACAACAAAGTCTCAACCTAACAACATTCACCAGTAAAATCTCATAAGCCCCAAAGTTTTCCAAAATCCGTATCCAAAATTTAGCTTCAAAGAAACTCACTTTGTTGGATTTGCAGATTCTCTTAAACGGAACAAAAACCTGTTCATATTCTTTTCTCAAATCTCGTTTATACATCGATACAACACTCTCTTCCAATTCCTCTACTGGAATCTTCGATCCAGCTTTAAATCAAACAAAAACTTTTAGTAAAATTTCGTGAAATCGCGAAATTAATCGAAACTGATTAAACGGAATCTGAACTTACAAGGAGATGGAATAGTTGTGACGGTAGGCATGACATGAACAAGAACTAATCGATCGATTTTAGGAAGGAAATTTTCAATGGTCCAACGAAGAGCACGACGACTAGCAGTTCCTCCTACGGAGTCACCGACGGATCCTTTAACGGCGACGGAAACCGAAGTATACGACGGAGCTCCACCGATTAATTCGAAGAACTTGTTCGTCATCACCACCATGAAAATGAAACTTTGCTTCTTCTCAGATGAATTTGTGGTTTATGTTGACTTGGATGGAAAAAGTGGGTGATGTATTTATTGACTCGTGAAATTTATAAAGCGCCTACTTTATTAGAAAAGTCTTTTTCGAATTTTTGTTTTTCAACTTTTTTTTTTTGTTATAATGGGGCTTATATTTTGGTGAAATTTAAGAAATGGTCGTTTTGTTGATAAATTTTCTATTAAGGAATTATTAGAAAGAATGTTCTACATTTTTAGAAAGTGTTCTACATTTTTTAAGGGGTTGACATTAGTAAAGATATATAATTCATTTTGAATAAATGTGCAAATAGCGAATTTAGAATTGATATTATTGACTAGTAACTATTTTTTATAAGGGTTGATAAATTTAATTAAGATAATTATGTGGTGCCTGTTCTTAGATTCTGTATGTGATGCAACGAACATATACTTGTTCTCTGTTCTTGTTATTATTAGATTAATGATTAAAGACGGCAACACTAACCACTTGCGGTATTCACTAATCCAAAATTAGTAGTTTCCGAACAAAAAATTTATAAAGAAAAAGTGTATAGATTAATGAGTAATTTGCACTTAATAACACGAAAATGATCATATTTAAATAAATGGCAATCGTATACAATTTCAGCCAAATAAAATGGATAGAAAACATGTTTGTACATTTTCACTCTTGTGAGAAAAATGAATTATTGAGTTTTTTTTTTTGCTTCCAGACTATCACAATTCACAACACAAGGTCTCTTTCACTGAATTTTCAGTCACTTACCACAAAACAAAGACTGATTTTTCTTTTCGTATCCATTTCGATCACTCCTTAGATTCTATACATGTTTGTTTCCAACTTCCTAGTAACCCACATACCATTCTTCGATCGATTATTCAGATAAATCACATATATATACACAAACCTAAGAGTTGATAAGAGAATCATACTTTGAGATAGGTTTTTATCATGGTTGCTCCGGTTGGATCAGAGATGAGATGATTGATGAGACCTTTTCTCAAATTGTTTGGTGAGATGACGAACATGTATAAAGCAAAGAGAACGAGATCTCCTGATGTTAATGTTGATCCTAGAAACCCTTGCCACATCCTGAGTAAGAAGTGAAAAGAAGAAATCAATTTTTCTTGTTTTCAGTACATTGTTATGAATCACGAATCAGTGTCTTGCTTACCATTTTGGAAGGCGAAAGAAAGTACGGAAGAAGCTTCTAATGCCTTCGGTATCGAATTGAACTATGAGTGCAAGACCAAAGAGAAAGAATGCTCTTTGTCGTTTCCTTTCTGGTGGCCATAAAGTATCCCAAGCTGCCAAAAAATGGAAACTCACAAGTTTTGAAGGTTTATCATTGTCTGAAAGCATAGTTAACTTTGTAGTTTATAAAGAGCTCACCTTGTCTTGAAATATTACTATTGATCTGTTTGGTGAAGGACGTAGTTTGAGTCTCTTGTTCTAGAATCTCCGCTATGACTGATGCATATTTTGGAGCTTCAGACAAAGATCTCACAACTGAATAGCCTGTTTCATTGAGGGAAAGTTAAGTCAGAGATGGTGCAGATTCAAGATGTGAATAGCAGTAAATCGGGTCAAGGCTTGCTCTTACTACCTGTTGCGGGATGTACCATGCTAGCCGCAGCACCAAAGGCGAGATTCTTTTGTTCGGTGTTTGGCAAGGAACCACCAACTGGGATATAGGACCATTCCTATAGTTTTATATTAAACGAATTAACAAAGCAAACCAAGAATTTTCTATGTTGTTCAACAAGTGAAGCTTTTACTTTTTTCTATGTATAAATTTACCTCTTCGTAAGTCTTTAGAATTCGAATTCCGAGTGTATCTAATCTTAACATGAGCTTCTTTTTTAGCAAATCAAAGGGCATGACATCTTTTGAGGCTAAACATGTCTCCTGCAAGGATATCCAGCTGTTAAGGAACAGACTTATCACGATAACGATTTAACTATTAGGAGAGAAACAACACAGAGAACCTCAAAGAATAGTCTTGTCTTTGTCATAGGCATAGCGTACAGAAACGTTGGATACTCAGCTTCTAAGCTCCGAACTTTCTCGTTTGTATAATCTCTGTAATCCATGAAAACCATTTGCTCTGGATCATATGGACTGTTTTCCACCTGAAAATTTCAAATAGAAGAACAGTCTCAATAATTCCTCCATAAAGTCATTACTGTGGAATATCATATTCAAATTATACCTCAACCTCCACGCCGTATGCAGTTTGGACACAGACTCTAGGTCCACCAACTTCGTATTGCAAGAGCTTTCCCGAAGCTGCTCCAGAAGCAACAGTGGCAAGTCTGCATTTGTTAGAAGTCAGAACCTTTACGTATTAGTAAAACCAGAATAGTACCACCTTTGGTTCCAGTCTTGTTACCTGCACGGAATGACGTTATTGTCGTCACAAGCAACAAGTCTAAGACCATCAGAAGCTTCTGTTATGCTGTCAACTTTCGAGCTAAGGTACGAGACACCTGACTCGACACACCTAGGAAAAATTAATAACAAATTATGTATTTAAACAGTTCAAAGTCATGATATACAAAATAACTAGAAAAAAAAAAGTCTCTCCAAAGATGCAGAGTGGAACCATTCTTTACCTCCTCAAAAGCTCTTCATGAAGTAAACGTCGACTAACTCTTCCATAAGCACGGCCAATAGTAATAGGATTGTCATCATCCAGATACACAAGAGTATCTCTCCAAACATGCTCAATACATTTTTGCAACCCAAGATCTTCAATAGTAACAATAAACAACATGTTAAACACAGACTAGTTTTTAAGATAGTGTGACTAAATAAAGAATCATTGAGCATTTTACCATTGAATTCATCTTCCCAAACACCGTAATTGTTAGTGAAAGGAAGATCAGGACCAATGAGTCCAACCTTTAGTCCAAGCTTAGCTGATTCTGCAGCCAAGGCTAAACCAGCAGGACCACAACCAATAACCACTAGATCCAAAGCACCATCACCAATTGATATAGGAGGTAACTATAAAAATCACAATCAGATTCATAAATACTGAGATTACTTATAGGTTTGTTTTCTTCATAAACAAGGCAAGGGGGCAATGAACAGACCTTATCAACAAGTTTAGACTGTTCATCCATATCTTTGTTTTGTTGCATTTGAACAAATAGAATCTCAGAACCACCAGCTTTCACAAAATCTTCTTCGTCGGCGAAATCTTCTCTCACCGCCACACAACTCTCACTACCGGAACTTCCGCCGCCGCTAGCTCTGACACTACATAAACCGAAACGAATATTCCTAAAGCTGTATCTCTTAACCACCGGAAATTTCTTACGAGAACTCCATGACGGAAATGTTGAAACCGCCATTGCTGCGAAATTCCGAGCCCCAACACACTCCATTTTCCTCCTTCAAAATATTATAATAATAATTTCGAAATAGATATTAAAAATCTTCAGCAACGAAGAAGAAAATCTCTCACACCATTGTTATAGTTATAGTGAGGGTGTAGCAGAAAGAGGAATCTAATTTTTTCCTTTTGTAATATTTGGGAAAAAAATCTCAAAATCATAAATTTCTCAAAATGACTTGGAAGAGCCATAAAGACGAGAGGTCGATAACAAGGATAGACCCCTGCTTCGAAGTTGCCACGTGTAATTCTATCATTGGGGAACAGACCATGTAAGGTCCTTTTTGTGAAACCACGTGTAAAAATTGGATTGGTTCGTGCGATTTAAAAGTAGCCTAATAAAGGACAAGTTAGGAAACGTAGCGACCTTGTTTGGCTATAACAGGCTTTAATACAAGTCACGAACATATATGGGCCGAAGCTACTTCTTGGGCCTAAAATGCAGTCCATTGACGTTGACAATACTTCTCTGCGTCAACTCTGTCCTTACCTCACTAGAGAGAACACAAGTGAAACAAAGAAACAAAATTCAAAACTGCATTGCCAAAATAATTAAACTCAGTTTCAGTAAACCCATGGGAGAAATAGTTCAGATGGAAAAAAAGAAAAGAAAAAAGGAAGACAAATTTCAAGTTTGTTGATACCAAACTAATACCATCAAATCAAGTTATTGAGCTTATAAGAGAACAAGCCCAAGTTCCGCTGGCTTCAAGGCACTTTTCAAACGGTAATTGTAGAGGTAGTAATGAAGTTGTCCATCTCCTGGACCAAACTTCAGTTCTTTCAAGAAACTCTCATTGTGCATCACATCCAACGCGTTGAACACATCGAAACCCTTTTGCTTTGAGACGATTAGCGCATCATTCATCAGCTGAAGAAACGAGGTCTGTGTGGCCACATTGTAGTACGAATAAGCAGCTTTCAATGTTGTGTAGTTCGGGTTACCAAGAATAGTTGAAGGTAGAGTGTAGAAGCTGCAGAAGTCAGTGACATCGTGAGTTTCAGGGCTTTCTACTAGGTAACTGTCCACAACATCTTCTCTTGGGAGCAGCCAATGCTCGACATCGTTCTCATCAAAGTCGGTCGCGACTCCAAACTGGCTGAGGTAGTTCCTAAGCAACCGTGTAACAGCAGGGACATCGCGTGGTTCCATTTTCCTGAATCCAGGAGTGATCGGTGCATCTGGTAACTTGTAGAGTTTGATGGTTCTGCTCATTGTCATTCTCGCACCAAGCCTTGAAAACCCAACATCGATTAGCTTCTTCGGGTTCAATGACCTGTGCCAGTATTGGCAGGTGGTGATTGGTGTAGGAAGTATAACTCCCGCAGTATAAGCCGCTTGCCATATGTTCTCCAAGTGAACCCTTCTAGTCACCTCCTTGATCATGACAGGAGCAAGTCTCTTAGACCTGAGCTTCTTGTGAACACACAAGAAATTGATCTCTGCCATTTTAACAACCTCGTCACGCACCCTGATTCTTGCTGGCACGCCGCTGATGAAAGCAACAAGTTTCTTCGAGGTCTTGGCACGGACTCCAATATGCCAGCTCTGGTAATAACCAGGAGGACGCAGTGCCCACCTAAGAAACTCCTTGGAGTAATTGAACCTGAACATATTCTCATCATCCTCAACATAGTTGTTCTTGAGAAGATTGTATACCTCTGAACACATATCATCAGAGTTCATATCGCAAGTGGTCCATTCATAAACAGAAGGAAGGTTGTACGGCTCTTGCTTGACCTCAGATAACGGAGTTGCAGGCTCAATCGGGCCTTCTGGCAAACTCGTGTCCCCGATATCCTTAAACTGCCCAACAGGTTGAGTCTCCCAGAACTTATGAGTCTTTGCCTCTGACATTGAATCCTGAAACCTTCGAACTATGGTTTCCAGTGAAGTATCATCCTTCACCAAAGGGTTAGCTTCAACAATTTGATCTACTTTCTCTTCAACAGAGCCAGGTGGTGAATTGTTATCTGCCATTTCCTACAATTACAAAAACTTAAAACAGCTAAGTTCGAGTAAAACAACAAACCAAACATCAAATTCAACATTGGACAAATCGCCAAATGCATTTCTAATTACGACTTTGTAAACTATTCCAAAATGTAAAATCCATAAATCAACACATGCTAATTTACGCAGAGATCGAACTCAATACACAAAACCAAAGTTAAATCTAGCGAATATATCAAAAATTTCAATCTATTAGGTTACTCGTGAACTTAACGGGAGAAAAAATCCAGTGATTACACAAACGACCGATCAGATCTTACGAAATCAAATTCAAACGAAGAGCTAAGACTCACCGATTATGCCCGAACAGAAGAATCCGTAGATTCGCACCGATTACAGATCCTTGAAGAGAGAAGTAACAGATCTCTGGAAAAATTTATAGGATTCGAGTTTCCAGATTCGAGATTTAGGGTTCCAGAACAAGTAAACTCTTCTCAGAGGAGAAAGAATAAGAAAAAAGACGAAGGGCGTGATGTGTGAAGTAATGACCGGATAAAATCTGTTACTTCATGTATATTGCATTTTGACCCCTCTATTTTACTTTTTATTTAAATTTGACCCAGATCTTTCGTTCTATCACTATGCAGTGAAACAAAATAACATGTACAATTTTTATTTACTAAGTTACTGAAAAAGACATTTTCAGTATTACTAAAAGCTATATGTACGATGTTCCAATTCCAAACACTGAATTTAGTTTCCCTCCGAAGTAAAAAAAAAACAGATAAATAAAAATTAGAAAAAAAATCAAAGCAAACAAAAAAAAAATCAGCAAATTTTCTCGTTTCTCCAATTTTTAGAGTTGAAAAACAAATACGACAACTTTGCTAAGCCATGGATGGATGGATGGGAATCAGTGGTGGTGAAACCTTTCGTCGGAGACTTGGAGAGTCTCAATGCCTTTGATGGCAGAATCGTAATGTTTTCTGGTGGAAGAAGATCTTTTCCCTTCCGGTGTTGTAACCACTGGAGAGTTTCTTAATCCGGCGCCGGTTCGGCATCTCTGTAGCTCCTCCGACGTTACTCTCCTCGACGATCCTGCTGATTGTGCAAACAGCGACGAGCTTGGCATCTGTGTTTATCAAAACACATCAAATTTTTAACAAAATAAATAAATATTTAGACACACAATTGTGAATTGTGAACAGCAAATACGTCAAACTATGAAATGGACATATATATTTGAAAGTCCTCTCTTAAAAAGGTCATTTGCTTTATTCAAAAAAAAAAAATCTTCTAAGCTAGTCTGAGATTTTTATGCATATATTCAATTTTTTTTCTAAAGTGGAAGCTGGGAATTAATCATATTTAGAAGCTCTAATAGCATCCTAGAGTATGTACTTTTCTTCATCAAATTCAAGAAAATATTGGTGTTTTTTTTTTACCCTTTCTCGGGAGAGATACACTTCAGATACTTTTTCACAGTCAAGACGTGATTGCTACCAAAGCTAACGAAAAAGTCTTTAAAAAAAAGATTTGGTTTTACACTTTAAATCTAGAGATATAGTGCTTTAAATCTAGAGATATAGAGCTTTTAGATTTGCTAAAACAGTGTTTATTTGTTTAGAGAGAGAAAACAAGAAAACAGAGCAATGTATCATACCATTGGGCCTCTAGATGACAAGTTGCCAGAGTTTTCAAGAGCTCCTGACATTCTCCTTCGTGATGAATCCATTGGTGGTCTCCCTCCTTCTTCCTCGCCTTCAAACAAACAAACATAGCAACTTTCTAAGTTTTCTGTATAGTTCGAAACATTTGATTGATTCAAGAGCTAATCAGTTTTATATATTTCACCTGCATATCTATCAACGCTGGTTAGTCCAGGAGGCAAACCCGAACTGGTTCCAACTGCGGGACTTACTAAGCCACGGGATGGAGGAGCCGTTAGTTGTGACTGTTGATATTTCAATATGGTCCAGTCAAAGACATAATCGAATTGAAACCCTGCAAAAGAGACTAATGTTAGTAAGCACGGATTTGGAAAAGAAAACATGTAGGAGGGATAGAAGAAAAGCTTCAAAACCTTCGCGGATAAAGAGGTCCCGGAATATTCTTTTGAGGTAACCGTAATCTGGTTTATCATCAAACCGGAGCGAACGGCAGTAGTGGAAGTAAGATGCGAATTCGGATGGGTAACCACGGCACAAGGACTGGAGGAAAATGAGCAAATTGTAAAAACGAAAAAAAATAGAAGTTTGAAATAAAGAATCAAACTTTGTGATTGAGACTTTACCTCAATTGATGTAGAGACTTTCTTTTCACTGATTCTCTCATACTTTTGTTTCTTGGTTCCAGCTTTAAGTCCTTGCCATGGAAGACTACAAAAGGAACCATGAAACATATTTTTATAAAGTATGAGAAGAACAAAGTGAAACCACGAGGCATGCAGGTAATATTACTCACCTTCCTTTCAGGAAATACATGAGAATGTAACCAAGAGATTCTAGGTCATCCCTTCGGCTTTGCTCTAGATGTTCAAAACAGATTAACATAAGGACAGTCTTCAGAGCATTAAAAACGAAAATCTTATGTCAAGCTTACCAATTCCCAAGTGAGTGTTCATACTAGCATATCTTGCAGTTCCAGTCAGATTCTTATTTTCTCTGTAAAAAAAGGGAATGATGGAAGAATTTAGAATTGTACGCGGGAAGAAGAAACGCGGACTGGTTAAAATTCTGTTGTCTCACCTGTAGGGAATGTGCTGATGGGTAGTATTATCCCGGTATTTCTTTGCAAGACCAAAGTCGATGATGTATACCTTTATATATGAAAAAGTGTCATTTCTGAGATCATTCAAAAGCAAAATGAGAACAAAAACAAAGATATATGTGAAGAAAACCTGGTTTGCCCGCCTTCCTAAACCCATGAGAAAATTGTCTGGCTTAAGATCTCGGTGAAGGAAAGATTTCGAATGGAAATACTCAACACGGTTGATCTGAATATAACGCAAGAAAGAGAATCAGTAAACAAATCGATGGGTAAAGAGTCGTCTAAAAAGACAAGAGAGATGTACCATCTGATCTGCGAGCATGAGGACAGACTTCAAGGAAAGTTTCCTGCTACAGAAATTGAACAAGTCTTCAAGACTAGGCCCAAGTAAATCCATCACCAGAACATTGTAGTCACCTTCAACACCAAACCACTTGACATTTGGAACACCAGCTGCCAGAATTAAAGATTCATAAGAGATTACGTACATGGTTACAAAAGAGCAAATGGAAAGAAAAAACAAAGAACAAAGAGATTGTTTATCAGAAATGAATTTTTACTTCCTCCCTGTAGAATTCTGTATAACTTCGATTCATAGAGCAGCTGCGGATGTTTCGTCTTCACATTTTCCTGCAAAAAAGAAAGAAACTACTCTCAGTATTCCACCAAAAGTCTTGTAGTAATAACAAATCAACCTGGAAAAGAAAAGAATCATACTAAATCGATATACATTGTCCATATGACAGAAGCTTTAATGGACAAGTGAAGACTGGACTTCTGTACCAAATTATCATCAATGTTGATCTAATTCAAGTAACTCAATAAATGTTTTTAAAGTTCAAATCTAACTTGAGAAGTTATTTCCATCATTCCTCTTTAAAGTAAACAAACTACATTGTCTCAATCTGCAATAAAATCTTCACATAACGCTAACAACACAAAAAACAAAGTTCGTAGCAGGAACTCACAAGCTTGATTGCAACTTCTTCATTAGTTTGAATATGAGTACCTAAAGAAAACCACATTTCAAGGACAAAGTTAGGAATGTAGAAAATCTCAATTGAAACATTTTAAACAGTAAAAACAAAATCAATTGAAGAAAAAAGACGAACCAAGATAGATCTCTCCAAATGAACCACTTCCAATCTTCCTGCCAAGACGATATTTGTTTCCCACACGAGGCTCCATCGTTAATAACCAATTCAGAAATCCAAAACCCTAAAACTATGATAATCTCTCAACCTCAACGCCGACTCTAAAGGAGAAAATTTAAATCCTCTTCCCAAAAAAAAAAAAAAAACTTTGTGCCCACCAAAAAGAACCCTTTAATCCACCGGAATCAGCAGCGCGAACCCAAAACAGAAATCTCTAGAAACGGAATTAAGAAAGATCCAATTCTGCAAAATTAGGGCTGAAACAAAGACCCAATACTCATCTTCATTCTTCTAACTCCTCTCTCACGATCTGGAACAAAGATTCGTAATGTCGATTCTCTTCTTGCTTGCTTTATCTCTCTCTCTTTCTTCACGCGAATTGAAAAAAACGAGGATAAAAAGGTAAGCTTTGTATGAAGGAAGAGAATGAAGGTGTTTCTCAAAGTTTGGGTCTTTTCCTTTTCTTTCTTCTCTCCTCTTTCCTTTTTTCTCTTTCCTTACAGGTAACTATTATTCCTCAGCTTGCCACGGTTCCAAATATCCCGGTTTCACTAAACCAAAACCCGGTTAAATAAATAACTATTAATCATTTCAAATTTTCAAACGAATACGTTATGTTGAACTTAAACCCAATATCAATCACCATATTTAAATTTCATAAATTCGTATTAATTACGTATGATCCATCTACATAACGGTTATTTGATTTTTCCGGTTTAGTTCGGTATAACACGCGTAGAGTTTTTAAATTATTTTTAAAAAATTAAAAACTTTGGATTGGCTACGAGTAAGAAATGGGTGACCAAGCGTGAGAGCTACGCGTGCCGTTGGTGAGCGGTAAAGATCGTTTGGCACGTGACTTCCATCCATCATAATGAGTCAAATATACTCAAACGTAATCTGCACGTGACTTAAATTCTTTTTCATTTTGTCTCCGTATTTTGACTTTACTGGTCTTAAATTTCTAATCATACATTGTACGAGGAGAAATTTAAATATTTGTAACTTTGGTCGGTCCGGTCGGAATAAATAACTGTTTTTCTACGATGAAATATTCATATAATTACACTTTATTTTATTTGGATTATATTAAAATTGTTTGAAGAAAATAATGATATTGATGTAAATGTTACAAAGTAAATAAAAGATTATAAACCTCAAAAAATACATGTAAAATTAAACTATTTAAAATAATAATGAGTACAAGTTATACTCAAAATAAAGAATCACCCAATGTTAGGGGACTGCAAAAAAAAAAGGAATATTCAAAATTAATTGATCAGATTAGGAAAAATGGGAAAATTAGTGCCTTGGGCTTGGAAGACCCATGCAAGAGAGTCTAGGAGAGACACGGATCTTTGGGCTGGGTCTTGGCGATGGTATTGGGCCAAATAATCCCATTGTTCCGTTGACTACACGAGGAGAAAGGTTGACTTGTTCAAGGGCCCGCGTCTGCAGATTCATTGGGTAGTCCCGCACACACCCGATCCTAGGACCGTTTCCCGTACTCCACTTGCATGAAAATCGTTTCTTTTCATCTGAACCGTCCGATTTCGCCACCATCATCGACGGCTTAGTGCTTCCGTCATTTGTGACCAAATGATCATCGTCGTCAATCGCATTCATCTAGAACATAATTAATTAAGAAAATTTATAGCTAAAACTTAACAAAATAATCTAGATAAACCATAAATTCTAAATTTTAAGGTTATTTGCGTATTAATTAGCTTAATTACCTTGACATTAGTGAGATCCACGTGGTTTTCTTTCAAGAAACCGATAAATTCTCGGAAATTCTCTTCTGTCGGGAGATAATGACCACTGTACGGCCACACAGCTTTTACAACGCCACGATGCGAAACAATTCTACCGGCGGCGGTGATCGCGGCACCGGAGAGAAAACTCGAGTGTTGAAACCGACCTTTCTGCTTCTGACCAATGTACAATTTTCTTGTCGTACTCAACACAAAGATCCATTTGGTTCCTTCAATAGTCTCCACAAGGTTCTTGGTTTGTCTGTTGACTAATTTCCCATCTTCCACTACCACTTCGTAAGCTTGTCTCTCCTTCTGTTAATCAAACCGAACTAAAATCAAAATCGGTTCTGTTTTCAATAACCGGGTTAACCGAAGAACATATATACATACCGGACCAAGGTAAGTGATGCATTGGCGTTGAAGAAGCGTTCTTGAACATTTGTTGAGATTTACTTCCTTGCCATCTCCAATGTCTAACCTTTAGTATCATTCAAAAGGTTTGCTATCAAAATCAGCAATTTATACTAAGCAACATTCGAAATCAAAATTTTGACTAATTCATGTTAAACTTACCAGAAGAAAAAAGGCTGAGTACTCTCGCTTTCTGACCAGACATCATAGTATAAGTGTAAGTTATGTCCGTACCTATGTCGTGGATCAATCTGTAAGACGAAAAGAAAAATTATTACTAAATATCAAAGTAATTAATGTGTATATTAAAGTAAAATAAATAAAAGCCGAAACTTACGGCTTCTAACCAATGTCGCAATGCTAATTTTTGTGCTTTATCATCTTTCAACAATCCTTTCCCCACCTATGAACCAATAAAAAAAGTACTAATGATAATCTATGACATTAAAATTAATTAATTATCCTAAATTCCTTTTAAATTACCTTTGCTGCTTTTGTTCCAGCTCTTGCCCACCTTGATACAGCCGACTCCGGTTTCTCATTGGTTTTGTTCGGTTCTAACGATGCCAATTCCAATTCTTTCCACCTAAACCAAACACACACATGGGTTAAAATGTATAAAACTGAAATTCACGGGGCTGTTTTGTAAAAAATTAGAACTCAAAACGTACCATAACTCTTCAACAACAACTGCACAATCAGCAAGGTTTCTACGTGTTCGATAACTCTTGTAAACCTTTTGTAACGTAACGGCGGCAGCGTCTAGCTCCGTCGACGGTCTTGGAGACCAAAACGGCGTCGGTGCTGGTAAACTTAACGCCGTTAAATTCCCCATTTTACCTCTGTTCCTTCGTTTTGGAGACGAGCCTTCTTCTTCGTCTTCTCTGTGTTCCACTTGGACTAGACTCGTGAACGAGAGACTTCTCTCAAGAATCATGTTATCTGGTTTAGGACCCTTCAAGTTTATACCTTTTCTCGTTTTGACCCCGCAACTTCCATCTCTGTAGTTGTTCCCCTGATCGACCAAATCTTTGAACGATAAAGTCTTCTCAAGATACATGTGTACCGGGTTTTTACGAATTCTCGGTGTTTCACACTCTTGTGAATCTTTCTTGAAACTGTTGTCTCTTTGAAAGTATCCAAAAGACAAAGCCATTAAAGCTACCTGTAAAATTTAAAAGCAATGATTCAGACATGACATGAAGAAGAGAAAAATGGTTGAGATCCAAAGATTGAGGAAGGTACTTACACTGATTACGATCTGAAGAAGTTTCGTAGAATGTTTTAAGAAACAGAGACACTTATTAAAGACAAAAAGACGAACTCTCTCTGTTTATGGTTATGTCTCTTCTTTGCCTATCTGTCGTCTATATTTATATTAATGAATATATAAATTGATGTTGTTTTTTTAGATATTTTTTTCCGTGAGAACAAAATTGGGATTGGACCTTAAGGTACGGAGTGAAGATTTTTCTTTGAGTCTTGATTCAAAGGTTTTACGTTTTCCTCAGATTTAAAACCACAAAGAATCAAACGACACGAGCTCTTGATTTTCATATTTCAATGTTTAAAATTTATTTGTTAATAGATTTTTTACATACTAGCGTGTGGGGCAACTTTGAATACGTCGTCTTAATGAATTTATAAATTTACTCACAACTTATTAACATTTTGATAACACTATACACATATACATAACATAACTCACTTTACATATGTGACCGTGTTGATTGATATACGCACGGCGTTACGCACGGAACGTGTGGGGACATCATTGAATACGTCGTCGTTTTTATACAATTCCCAACTTATATGGATTTCATAGTTTTCTGACTCATTCTTTAATTATTTTTTTTTGTTTTACGGTCAACGGATTTGTTCTGTTTCTATTTAGGATAAAGTATAAACAGTACTTAGCAGTATTAAATATTCTTGGCTTGTGTGCTTGCTTTTTCTATTTAAACAAGCCTATCTATCAAATCTATATGAACAACACAATCATATGTTAAGATTATACCTATATATAATTGTGAAATCAAATGATTATGTTGAATGATTCTTCTGCGAGCTGTTTATAGTTGAAGATTATACTTTTTTATTTTATTTTACTTTAGACATGATTAAAAAAAAATTATCGAATCTACAGATATTTGAATATTTGAGATATGACTTTTTATTACTAACATAATGCTAGACACAGATTAAAATTAGAAGGAATGAATTCCAAAGCATTATTCCAATGTTAATACATTTGTGACGGTAACACCAAAGTATATTGATATGATCATGTCCTATACAATAAGTTAATGAGTATATATCAATAATTCGTCTTTGGTTTCTACTCCATTAGATTATTATATATAAACATCGTAAACTAGGAAACGAAAATTTGTAAAATAAATCTCGGCGTGGTTAGATGGTTTTACACAAGTCAAATCAAATCTATAAAACATTCGAGTTTGGTGACCGCGGGCCATTAAACTTTAAATAATATGTTTACGATTATGATAGTGCAAACCCAATATGATTAAGAAAAGTTGTGATTAAATTGATTTTTCAGTGGTCCATACATCTTTATAAATTCAATTAATAACAATTCACTACTAGAATGATTTATGAAAAAAAAAAAAAGATTTATGATGGTCAAAGAAAGCAACCATATACAGTATGTATGTATGTGATAAAGACATACTATTAAAGAGCAGCAAAACCGGTTCGGGGTCGTGAGGTGTAAATGCAGAGTCAACCATTTGCGGTCAAGTCCCTTTACATTTGGGTTTTCTCAAAAAAGTTTCTTCTTCTTGTTTTCTACTAAATTGTGCAGCGTACGTGTTAGTTCAAAGTTGTTGGTCTATTTATCTCACTTGCTCACCTTTTACACGACACAAAATATCACTTTTGTGCTGATATATTCCTATCAACATTCCTTGTTAACTAGTTGTGTCATGTGATGTTAAATTTTATCTTTAACTATTTTACAAATATATATATATATATATATATATCTTTAACCCAAAATATCTAATCGGTATGCGAATACCCGTAGTAGTAAGTAAAAATATCTTTATAAAAATACTTGTACTAAAAACGTTTAGCAATTTGTATATATTAATACTAATTAATACTATTAAAAAGTAATATGTTAGTTTTGAAGATTTTTGATTCTACAAGAATGATTATTAATAAGCGATTGTTAAGTTTCACGAAAATGCAAATATCTTCTTTTAACCACTGAATCTTTAATATCACTTTAACTAGTGATTCATCAATACTCAGTATAAATATATGTACATAATAGCGAAAGAATTATATAAAATTACAATTTGATTTCACCGAGGGCATTGAGAAGACTCTACTTGAGGCGTAAGAAAAGGGTTTTGGATATAGCTTTATACCTACCCTTTTTACCAAGTAAAACACCATCCCCAGGTAATGGAATATAACTTATAACGTTGGTCAACAAGCAAGACCGTTATTACGTGTTTTTCGACTTGAATACTTGTTTACTTTTTTCTGTCGTTGAGATGTTAAAGTTCTCGCATTGGTGAAAAATAACTACATGTAATGCGTGATCGTTAAGTCTAAAATATATTTATATATAGTATGGAAAATACTAGTTGGCCACATTTTGGATATCGATTTCATATTATATGAGTTTTTCGATCTGCTATATATGTTCTGTGTTCATTTATATTCTTCTATTTTCGTCGACGATCTAGCCACAGTTCTCAATGTCGATTTCATATTAGGAGTAAATTATATTAAATGATCATTCTTCTCTTTTCTCTTGGCTTGACCTAAGACCAAGAGGTCAAAGTTTGAAATTGGATATTGCACCGATAAGTCAGAGACACGATATGACTTGCAACTTTAGCGGTAGAAAAAAATTACTGGCTATTTTGCTAGAACGTGTATCCATATCATTTATGTAGCTTTGTATAAAAAATACGAATCCATAAATGTATATAGTAGTCGGTCAGAATCGATCGGTCCAATATGCTCAATTTATTTTTTACTTGTTGGTAGTTAACATTAAGTGAAAAATACCAGAACTGATTATAACCTTTCACAAAAACCATGAATTAATTTGAGCCGATTTTGTTTTAGACATTCAAAAAATAAAAGTACTAATCAGAAATTTAAGTGTCGCCTAGTTCATAGATAGTTTAGTTAACCATTTAAACGTTGATTAATTTTGATTTTCTCTATTTTTCTATAGTTCTTAAAAATATATTTTATAAAAGAATTAATCACAATTTTATAAAAGGTGACTCTTGAGAGTCAGAAAAAATGTCCAATAGTGTGAATTTTATTTAGGCTGAACCAAAAAAAAAAAGAAAAATTGAAGTGGATCTAACGTAAGACGCATGGGCCATGGCCCATTATAATATGGTTACGTGGCGGTCTAAACAAAGAAAAGAGTACATAAGATAGGATTTAGTGACTTAATTAGCCTAAAAACATAAAAGTGGGACCCAAAATTAAGCTAATCCAGTCTGGCTTATTACAGATGTTTTCAAATTAGGACCAATTCCTAAGTTGCCTTTGTGGGAATCATGCAATTATAATTTTACCTCAACGGATTTTTCCCAAATTCAGTCTCTCAGAATAAAAACCCTACAAAAATCCCTAAATTCCATCGATTCTCTCATTCTCTCATTGTTCAAGAGCAAGAAGAAGATGACGACTGGTGTCAACACAGTTTCTGGTAATTCATTCTCCGATGTTTTCTATGAGATTTTATCTCGTTCTTTAGTTGATTTGTTCTTGCTCTTTTATCAAAATCGATGCGATAAATCTCATTCTTTAAATTGATTTTGTGTTTAATATTGCTTCTGAATTTGAGAATGAATCATCGCAGATTTTTTCCTGGGGTTTAATGGTTTTATTGAGGTTATTTAACAATCAATCAGATTATTGTTTTATTTTGTGCGATTTATACATGTATGAATATAATCATTGAGATTCTTAGAAGCCAATTTATATATTATCATTGAGTTCATTACAGAGTTTATTGAGCTTATTAACGAAATTAGTGTTTTTTGGATTTGTTATGTTTTTTTGTAATGTTGAACAACACTGTGGATTTGTTGTATGTCTCATATTATAAGAGTTTTGGCTTTTGTTTTGTTTGTTTGTTTAGGTGATAAAGATCGTTCGGACAAGAAGATTCATGCTGACATTGATGAGAGTAAAGTCAAAGCACCAAACATGTTTGAACGAGCAAAAGAAGAGTTTGATGCTGTTGTTGGAGCTATTCATCAACGCAAGAGTTCAAAGTTTGTACCCATTAAGCTTATCAGTGTCTATTGGCATGAGGAAAATTTAAGCATCTTGATTATGCAATGAGCTGAATACAGGAGTTTGCTAATGTGTTATCAATTTAGTTTCAGGGACGAATCTGATAAAATGGAACTCAAATCGGAGAAACCAGGTTCAGTTTTTCTCTCATCATGTTAAATTTGTTTCTGATAGCAATTCTTAGGTTGTTAATCCTCGAAACTTATAGTAATCGTTTCTTGATCTTGTTGTGTTCATTCTGGATTCTTGTTCAAGACTCAATTTTGTTTCACACGGTTTACATTTGCAGAAGATGGAAAGAAAAAACCGAATATGATCAAAAAGGCGAGGGAAGACCTCAAATCTTTATTTCAGAAGGAGAAACCTCCTCGCCATCATCATCATCATCACAAAGAAACTCATGGAAGGAGTGATGATATCAATGAGAACACTCCAGTTGATGAAGTGAAGGCTCCTAATGTTTTGGAGAGAGCCAAGGAAGAAATCGAGGCCGTCATCGATACCATCCATCCCGAGTTGCGTTCTCGGTCTGTCTCACCGGAGAGAGCTGGATTCGCATGCAACATTGGAAAGGGTTTGGAAAAGATTTGTTCTCCTTGGGGTGATGATAAAAAGGATTAAATTATTCTTATGATTGATGATCATAAACTTGTGTGTTAGTTGTCATAATAGACTTGGTTTTAAGTTTCAATCAGTTTGTTGATTCTTAGGTACTAAATTGTTACCTTAACAGACTTTGCTTGTTCTTTTCATATTTCAAAAAAAATCATTGTCCTCTATGTAAATATTATAAATTCGTGCGCTTGTTTTCATGGACTATGGGTACAGTACTATTACCAAATCTCAGACAATTTTCATATTTCAAAATAGAGTGGGCCTTATTGAATATAAATCTTTTAGATGGGCCAATATCGGGTGGTCCTTAGTAGACCTCGAACCCATTTTTCATTTTGATGAACCCATTTGACCTTGAACCCATTGAGTTTTTAGAGTTAAAATGGAGTTTGATAATTTAATTGTATTGCAAAATGTAATGTGTAAGATTGAAATCTGATTGATTGACAAAAAAAAAAGATTGAAATCTGATTGCCAAAAAAAATGATTGAAATCTAATTTAAAACAAAAGTTAATAGACTAAATATTAAAAAATAGAAATCTGAATCTCTCACCTTTCATTAATAATCAATCAAGCTTCATCTTTGTTTATGAGATAGCTACATATTTTAGGATACACTGCAACAAAAAATCTGATCCTTGCCAGCTAATCCGACGATGTACGTAACCGCGGCCACCTTCTCCCCATGTCTCACCATGCAAAATTTTGATTATCTAATAAAGATTATCGTTGTAATCAAATTTATACCCAATTATAAGGACTTAGGCGAAAGATCAATCCATAGATCCAAGTGTCAGTCTGATATAAGATTGGAATCACTCCAACTTATGATCACTCAATGATCAAGAGATTCCAAGCTTATGGATGCGGAAGGTGGAATGAAGTCGAGATGGAAGGTGGTGGAGGATGATTGACTCTCTCAATCCTTGGAATGACTGACTCACTCAGCCTTTGGAACTAGAGTTGCCTGAATCTCACAAACACTTCTATTCCAAGAATCAGTAGACACAAATGAATCACTCAAATGAATCTAAAGATAAGTTTTTAAACAAAGACACTCTTTGAATAAAAGAAGAACAAACTTTATATTTTCTTGGTTGATTGAAAGGTGATTTGTACAAATGATCTAAGTGAGCTTATATAGTGCTCTAGTACACGGCCTAAAGGAATAAACAAGAAACAAATTCTAAGAATTGAATGAAAACTAGCCGTTGGAGAATAATGGGCAAATCGGGTGAAATAAGGAAACTTGAGTTGTGCTTGAGTCTTGAGAGCTTTTCCATGAATGTGTGGTGTCTTGGGACGTCTAGAGTCATTGAATCCACGCTCAAATTGCAGCTGCAGCAAAGATATAGCCGTTGGAGATGGGCATTGAATGCTCTCGGGTCTATATTTAGTAAGTCTTGATGTATGGTTGGGTAAGATTGGATCCACCTGATCCAATGGTCCTTTCTGCACATAAATATTCTCTTAAGGCCTTCTAGATGATGTAGAAGCTCCCCTGGTTGCCACACATACGTTTGTAAAGATCCAAAGTTGGAAAACTCCAAATAAGGCAAGTCCAGGGTCCTCCGGTTTAGAAACTTAATATCTCTCAAACCAAAATTGGTATCGACTTGATTCCAATTCGACAAGCTCCTCTGATGGGTTAAGTTTCCAAAACAAGTTGGTTTAAAACTCGGTTCCTCCTGGTTCGCCCGGGGTGATTCAATGAATGGACGCATGTCTCCGTCGCGTCGGTTGGAGGTCTGCTGACTTGTAACTTCCATAACTTCTTGATGGTAATAGCTTTTTGGATGATTCTTCTTCGTGGTGTTTTGTAGCTGAGCTGTGAACAATCTCCAAGTGGTTTCATGCCTTGAATCGTCGTGGTTGAGCTGATATGCTTCAAACACTGAGCATATGTCCTTGTCGGGTCTGATTGGAGTTGTGCATCCGGTTTGAATGAGCTTTGGTTCAGCTGCTGGTTTGATTCTCCCATCATCCTGGTATTGTGTGGTTTGGATGTCCGCATCATACCCTCTCCCTTGAAAAAGTTTCGTCCTCGAAACTATAGAATCTACACCAAGAGAAAGCAAGTTAGCTTTTATTCGTTTTCGGGAGGCTAGAGTCTTACCTTGATGTGGTGGTGATTTGGTGATGCATGGTGCATCAGATGGCTCTTCTTTGGAACATAAGGAAAGGATCACTCCTCGTTTTGGGTCTGGTGTAATGGTTTGTGGTGTTCCTTGTGTAGCTCCTTCTCGGGTTTTGACTTGAGCTTTAAAATCTGGTGGTTCCTCTTTAATTAGGCAAGAGTTTGGAACTCTCCTAGTCTCCATGACAGGTGGTGTGATCATTAATGGTGCTGGTCCACTCAGGTTTTGACTTTGGTCCACGAGTTTCTTCTTTTCCGGTGAATCGTCTTTATGTTTCGTGTGTTCTTTGATGGTACCTGCAAGTTCATCAACACTTTGGGCAAGAAACAAGTGTGTTATGGCAGTCATGGCAACAATATAAGCAGGTAAAACAAGTTTAGTTTGAACAATCTCTCGTCCATAAACTGTATCACAAAGTATATCACAAAGTGTATCAACCACTCGATCTTCTTTACGACAAGAAATTCGTTCCATAAGATCATTTAAAGAACCTAGGTTTTGCTCACATTCTTTAGTGCTTATTAAGTTCATAATCACATCACTCAAACTATTAGAAACAAATTGAACAAGTGAACTACTTACTTGGTCAAGTTCGATGGTGAACTTATGTCCCTTGTTTAGCAAAGCAAAAGAACTTGAAGTTTGATCTGGGGGTTCTTCTTGAGGTAAAAAGTTGTTGGTGACATCCTCTCTTTCCTTAGTAGCTGGTAGACACAACATAGGCTCTGGATATGGTGGTATGTTAACATGCCTTGTTAGTTCCTCCGTCGGATCCGAAGTTAAGCTCTTTTTTGTTGCGGTTTCTCTCCCTTTATGGCGTAAGTCGACGCAACCTGTTTTTCTCTTGACACTTAAGAATAAAATCAAGTGAATTATACTAGAAGTTGAGTCAATTAAAACGGAGTACTTAATGCAACGATGAATTGTGGAATAGTTCCAATATCGAATAAGATCATAGGTTCCACTTACTAGCGTTTTCGATGGTTGCTTCTCAACGCTCTTACTCCTTTCAACTTCATTATCTTTATGCTCCATAATGTGACCTGAATCTACATTCTTTGACAAGAGCAAGTGTATCATACAAGAATTGGAATTTTCCACACTTGGTGTAACAAGATTAGCATCCGATTTTGACATTAGGATTGTCGACCTTTCTACTTGTCTAGTTGGGCAATTAGCTGCAAAGTGTCCTCTCTCATGACATCTATAACATGTTACTTCTTTTGATTTAGAAAGCTTAGAAGACTTACATTGCCTTAATTCACCGTGTGGTTCAAGCAACGGAATCGCTCTCGGCTTTGTAGCTACATTGTGGAGATTCGACTTTGGCCTTTCTTCCTTTGCTTGAGCTGCTGTCTTAGACTCAGTCTCCTCCTTTAGAATGGTTGTAGACGTGATCTTTGGCTTAGGGCTCGAAGCTTCCTTAGGCGGAGTCTTTGGAATTGCTTTGGACATCCAACTATTTGTCGTTGTTTCGAACATAAGCCTCTTGGGAATGTAGCTTTTGTTGTAAGATTTTTGTACAAACTCCCTGTACATACGCTGCTTGAGATTACCCTAAGTGGTGATTGGTTTAAGATTGTAGGCCTGAGCTTCTTCTTGTAACCACCATGAATGAGCTTCTCCCACAAGTCTCTTTAAAGCGTAATGAAGTTTCTTCTCTTTTGGGATGTTCTGGAATCGTAGCCATTGCTCCATGTTCTTCTCCCACAATAGGTAAGCTTCAGGTCCTTGTTTATTAGCTGAGAAAGTTAGGAGTTGTGAATCAAAACGTTCACGTTTATTACCGTGGTTCCATGGCTTGGTAAAGGATGACTTTGTGTGAATTAGGCCTGGTCCAACTCCATGGGAATAGGGTGTCTCTTTTCTGGGGTACCCATATGAAATCTGGTCCGGTGTTTCTAATCCCATAACATCACTTCCTGATTCATGATCTTCTTCTTCACCACATTGCTCAACACCTCGTAGACTGAATTGTGAATCAGTCTCGTCACACCATGATTTGTGAATGTGGTTCAGTCCCATGAATGTTGTTTCCTCCTGATTGAATTCTTCTTCACGTTCTTCCTCTTGAGTAAACTGAAATTCAACCTCCTCATGCCATGACTCCTTTTCATGGTTGTTTGGCTCTGTCTCACGCCAAGGTTCTTTGTCTAGACTGAACTGAGATTCAGCCTCGTCACCACATGAATCTTCTTCATAGCCTTCATAACTGATTTTCTCTTCCTCACGCCATTGTTCATCCTCAGGGTTAATTTGAAAATTTTCATCTTCAATTTGTGAGTCAACTTCATCATACCATCTCCTGTGGCTGGCGTCATCTTGATCATAATCTGGTGGCTTCGGTTCAGGCTCGTCTTCCTGAAGTTCATCTCCACAATCTGAGATTGAATAGCCATCTTGTGGCCATGATTCTCCATAAACATCCTCGTGTGGCTCAACATCTTGTCCGGTCTCCTCTTCATGGCTGCTATAATCATAGAGATCCTCCTCCTCTGAGCTAGGGTATTCCATGGCTCTGGTCTCTGTGGCTGCGCAAAAGAGAGAAGAGGAAGAAAGCGTATTTCAAATCAACAAAATAAGGAAATAAAATTAAAAGAAATATGATTTTTTTTTTTTTTTTTTTTTTACTTAAATTCGAAATTGATAAACTCAAAGGTTTTTTTTTTTTTTTTTTTTTTTTTAATTTTATCCAAACAAACCTCGAAAATTAACAAATAATTAGAATTAAATCCGAAAAACAATTTTTATGGGGTTTTCTTTATAAAAATTCGAAATAATATCAAACTGAAGCAAATTAAAAAAATTCTTTTGATTTTATGGTTTAATAAGGCAAGAAAAAAACTATTAAATAACAAGAAACTTGAAAAGAAACTGAAGCAAAAAGATTTTTTTTTTTTTTTTTTTTTTTTGATTAATGAAAAATAAACAACAAAAACAGAAAAATAAAAAAGATGAAGGTTGGATGAACACAACCTGGGTTTGATAGGAGCTTTTAGCTCTGATACCAAATGATATAAGATTGGAATCACTCCAACTTATGATCACTCAATG